TTCCTCACTATCAGTTCCTGCCTTTCTGATAAGATATTTTAAAGTAAATCACAATAATACTTATTCATCCCTTTTTTCCCAGTCTGCTAGGGTTCCTCAAGGTAGTATGATGGGACCTACTTTACACAGTTTATACAGCTGATATCCTGACCCATCCAAACACTGTCATCACCACCAATGCTGATGACACATGTAACCAATGACCTCCTGTCCTACAGTATCATTTAAAAATTTCCCACTTATCCCAGTTTAACAAGTCCGATATCTAGGACTCCACTTGGACAAACGTTTAGCTTGGAATCCTCATACCAGACTGTTTAATTTATTATGTCATTCCCTTCCAAGATCAGGGGTATTGACATAATAATTCTGCTCTTGTTGCCGGTACATCTATTTTACTTTTGTGGACTGTATATAAGGTATATGGTTAATATATAATTAAGCTATTGGGATAAAATTTGCTTTATTTGTTACTATATTTACATTATAATTTGATTTATTAAGCCTGATCTATTACAGAGAATGGTTAGTGGGTTAATAAATTTAGTATGACTATTGCAATTATTTTAACTATGAATTAGGTGGGTGGTGGCTGTAAATGAATTAATTTAATTGCTGCATTCTTCTTCTTCTCATCTTTCTCTCCTCCCCTTGTTAAGCCTGTTGTGTTTCTACTCCATCTCTTCTATGAAGGCTGTATGATATAATTTTCTTGCTGGGCAGCTATGCTCCAGTCTAAAGTGGGAAAGTCTGTTACAAGTCCTCTGCATGTCTATTCAGTCATTTCTTTGCTTCTCTTGCCTGCCAAGAGATGGTAGCAGTGCTGCTTGCTTCATCAATGAATTCAAATTTAAATAAAGTGGGAACATGGCTGTGTCCCCTTAACCTAAATTAAGCTACGCTAATTTACAATGAAAAAAAAGCGTAACTTAGTGCTATTATGTGACATACAAAAACTATCTTATCTGCTTGACTATAACTAAAATAAGCAATCATAAAATATAAATATTAATTAATGATACTGATCCTTTTAATACGAAAAGAAAATAATCTCGCTTCGTTCGGTTAAAAAAAAAAGCAAGATTTTGGCACTTATATTTCTAAAAATAACGCATAAAATATAAAAGGGAATAAACTGCCAATGAATGCAAAACAAAATATATATATACGCAATTATAATGGATGCTTCCCATTACAATTGAGAGGAAATGAGGGAGGGCAAGACACAATGAAACGAACTTAACCTACCACCAGGATCCTTGATGTTAATTGATCTTGGTAAGCTTCGGTTGGCACCATGTGATCTTGGAGTTCCAAGTGACTATCTGGTCGTCCTAAGAGTAGATGATCCATAGCTATTAGCAGTAGTCCTATGCGTTGAAGCTACAATTGAAGAGCTTTCAAGCTGGGCTATTCATGGTGAATTCCCCATTGCTGAAGTTCAAAGTACTTTGGCAGTTTTGAACGATTGCCGCTTCGTTCATTGGAGGATTTCTCTCTGTTACGGGTTAGTTGGTCTTTGACCACGACTGCAAATACTGCTCTGCTGGTTGTATCAGGACCTATTGCTTTTTCTGGTGGTACCCGACCGATCGCTTTTTTGGTTGCTGATGGACCAAATGTTGTGTCGGCCGTTGCCACATCGAGTGCTGGGTCAAGTATGAATGCTTTGCGAATGCTGCTTCTGAGTAATGTGAATGCTGTTGCTGAGCCGAATCGCAGCCTGCTTCTGCGATGGTGTTTGTTGCGCCAAGGGTAGGGTTTGGAGTAGAGATTGCTGTTTATTTCTCAGCTGGTGATTTTCCTTCTTCGTTTTCGCCGCCCACCTTCATCTTGTCCGGATTGTCAGTTGTATCTATTTTCTGGCCTTTGCTATTTTGCTGTAATCCAGTGGACATATCGTGAAGCTGGAGTTGAAATGCATGCTGTCTTCAATATGACTACTAAGCCAAATACTGTTGGCTGAAGGAATAAGTCGTCAACACCGAAGCTGAATGGAATACCATTGATATTGTTTGGATATAGATCAATGCCGATCAACAGATCCATGGTGCCAGGTGTATGGAAGCATTCATCTGCCAGTTGAAACCTTGCTAACTGCTGCCTGACATAAGCTTTCAACGGAGTGCTTGGAAGAGGTGGAGTGATTATGTTCATAACGATGTTTTTTGTAGTGAATTCCTCGTTGCTGAAAAGTGATTGCAGAATGCGTTCAATTGATATTTTTGGCTTCACGACTAGATTACCACAAAAGACCAGCAATGCTAATGTTTAACGGATTGGTCCTGAAACCAAGCTTGCTTACAATGGCTTGTGAGATGAAGGAGTGCTGGAATCTATTACTTCCGGAATCTATTACTGCACGGATTGTGTGCAAACTATGCTCAGGATCCAAAATATTAAGTTGAGCCGTGCCTAGTACATAACAGGATTATCGAGTGTTATGGTGTTGTTGAGAGGCTAACCCAAATCCTGCAAAGTGCGTAAAAGTAGGAGTGCTTTGTTCGTTTGATCGAATCTCGTGAAGGAGACTGTGATGCAGAGTCTTGCAAAAGCGACATGTGAACTTAGACTTGCACTCAGACGTTTCGTGATTTTGGCGAAGACATTATTACAACACTCCAGATTGCTAACGAATGCTTTGCGATCTTCTACGGAGATGTTGCAAAAATTAAAACAGCCCAGCAGATCATGTTGTTCTTTGCAGAACGGAGAACAGCGTGGTGGAGTTTGTTATCTGGCTGTCCGAGGAGTTGAGAACGGTGATTTTATGCGCTTTGGTGATGTGCTGGAACTCCGGTTATGTAGAATTTTCCTCTGTAGGAAGCTAGAAGCTCTATATTTCGGTGATCCTCTTTTTGAAAACTGTGAGTGCTGGTACTATGCTTTAACCCGATCGTCTTGAGTAGTGCTTGAAGAGGAAGCAATGTCTCTTGAGATTGTGAGGGCATTCTTCCTTGGTCTAACGAAAGTGATTATGTCGTCAACTATAGAAAACGTGCTTGTTGAGGCCTTAGAGATTTCGAATTGCCTTTGAGTATGTGGATCGAGTGCCCTTAAAGCCAAAAATGCCAAAAGAACCTCGGCTGAATTTTCCAAGTTAAGAGCCTTGTAGCCTTGTATGTTGTCGGCTACACCTACTAGGAAATTTTCGTAGGTATGCTGCTCGTTCGTTGTGCTCTTGGCCTCCAAGTCCAATATTTGCTGTAGAAAATATGTCGCTAGTACTCTAGGATTATTATAGGTTTGCGGTAATTTATCCCAAGCTAGGACATATGACCTCTCTTCTATAGAAATATTCGAGACCTAAGATGCGGCTTCACCCTTTAATGCTCCGAGAAGATAATGAAATTTCTCGGTACTTCATCTGTTTAGTCATTTCTTCGCTGTCTGTGCGAGATGGCAGCAGTGCTGCTTGCTTCATCAGTAAAATCAAATTTAAATGAAGGTGGAACATGGCTGTGTTCCCTTAACAAATTACTTTTACTCTTCCTCGCAAACCAATGAACGCCTGTCCTGCAGTATCCTTAAAAATTTCACACTTATCCCAGTTGAACAAGTCCAATACCTAGGACTCCACTTGGACAAATGTCTAGCTTGGAATCCTCATACCAGACTGAAACAAGAAACCGCTCGACGTTTCCGACAACTCCAGCACTTACTAGATAAACGTTCTAAGCTTTCAACTAATTACTAAAAACTCATATATATATATATATATATATATATATATAACTATAATAAGGCCTATTTGGACTTACAGAATTGAGCTTTGGGGATCCACTAAACCACCGAATTCCTCTCTTATCCCATCCTTACAATTCAAAATCCTCAATGCTCCTTACTTTGTCAGAAATAAAATCATCCATAATGATTTGGCCCAATCCAGATACCTATCCTTCCATAACAAACTTCAAAACCATCTGAACCCCCTCATTTCAAACCCTGCTTCCTCCTCGATCCCCGATAAACCTCCGAGGCATCAGAAAACAAGGAGGCCTCATGATCTACTTGTGTTAATTTATTATTAGTGTGCTACCAGTGGATAGTTTCTCAACATGTGTTTTCATGTTATTATCTTCCTGTGTGCACATTTACTATGGGTATTTTTATTTTAATACAATTGTAAATATCATGAACAAATAAAAAAATAAAAATACACCATCATTATATTTTTTATTATATTGCTCAAACTCTCTATACTATAGAGCAATTATAGAACTCTATACTACAATAGAACAAACAATAACGTATATTATAAAAATTATTTGTTCTGTAAATTTTTGGAATTGAAAAATAAAGTTATAATTGATCTAACTTTTGAACCACTGAAGATAAACTAGTAAAATAATAAACATTCTTGAATAAAATTCAATTATTAAAAACTTTCTTCCCCATGACTTAATCGTAAAATGAAACATTCAAGAGTTAACTAGTCAAATAAAGTAAACATCTTTCTCGATTTGATGGATAGTTTTCCTGATATAAGCCAAATCCCGAAAAAGTGATGTTCTAGGTGCCCACTCCCCACATCTGGCTTACCACTTAGGAGTGGGGATTTTTAGTATGTTTACCTCCTTATTAGTCCAAACAATTTCCTAAAGTCAAAAATTGTGTCCCCGCCATGATATTCAACCCTTATTTTCTTTGTTCATAAAATTTTATTGAGGGATGGTATAAAACAATACAATAAAATTTATTATTGTATAGAATCAACTAGAATATTAACGACTATATTGGTTCACATTGTTGAAATTATCTCACATGCTTGTAACTTTCCATTGATTATTAAAAAACTATTTGAACTGAAATATATTCTTGAATTACTTCCACATTACCGAACAGGGACAATATTGAATGGGGTGTAATTTAGAAATTAAGCAGGAAAGGAGAGAATAATGGCTTTGGAATGGGATCTAAGGCAAGAGAATCTGAAAAGCAAGATAATAAAACTTACAGCCCAAGAGGTCTAATTAACTTAATAAAAGAATAATTTTTTTAAATGTTTAAAACATGTATTTGAAGATTACATCTTAAAACAAATCTTAACTTAGCAACAAACTACTTCAAATACATGGATAGTTATCTTTTAGTGGTAACTTTCTGCCCTAAAGTTTTTGAACGTAAAAACAAATTTTTTTTAGCTAAATCTTCCCAATCCTCATCATCACTGCTAGATGTTTCATTATTTACTTTTTTTTTATTACTAATTTTCTTTATATTTTCATTAATATTAGTTAGCTGCTTTGGACTGACCAGAACATTGGTACTAGTAGCATCAGAAGTAGTGACATTATTTAAATTGATTTTAGGCTCCTGATCCATAGTGGGAATACTTGAATGGCTACTTGGTCTCTGGATATTTTTTACATCTTTTTTTTCTCCACATTTAGATTCACTATTTATTTTATCTTTTCTTGTATCATATTTTCTTCTGTTCTTTTTTAAAACTTTTATGTCTTTTTTTGTTTGATAAGGTAATCGTCCATTATTTGTTTTATCAACTTCAAATACTAAATGTTTTTTTTTTAGATCATTTTCAGATTCAGAATCACTTAAAAATATCTCTTCTTTTCTTAAAGTGCGAATGTTAGAACTACTTTCAGAAATTATTTCAAATGCACTATGTTTGCTAGCATTGAAGATGGGTTCTAAAAACTTTGAATTTGATGAATCAGAAAATTTTAATTTGTATGATAATTCTTTAATTTTATCTTCCACGATTTCATCTTTCTCATCAGAAGAAAGATCTGAAGATAAATCATGTGAAGCTAATGATTCATTAACAATCAAGTTATCATATTTTCCATCTCTGGCATGAAGAAAAAATTGTAAGAACTCTTTTGATGGTGTTTGCAGCTCAACTTCAGTAAACAACTTAACCTAAAAACAATGATAAAGTTTATTATTAAAGATAAAACCATTTAATAAATGCTAATTGGATGATTATTTAATAATACATAATTGTAAAATTCCTAACCAAAGAAGAAGCAAATAATTCTTTAATTTTTTATATAGGTAAAGAAATGAAAGTAACATCAGAAAATATAGGTGGAACACCTTTAAAACAAAATCAAACATCTAATAATACAATTAGTTATAAAAAGTAATTATAAATTTATAATTTTAAAGTAATGCAAAACAATAAATTGTATGTATACATTTAAAAAAAAAAATGCTTCTTTCCGATAATCAATAGAGGACTGTTTTGATTCAAGATAATTTTAAAGTTTGATTCATATAGGTAGTCTCTATCTACGATAAGTTTGAGGATGGGTAGAGGGGGAGGGAGATACACAGTGGCAAAACATTTTCACGCCTATCTACCACTCTTTTGTCTTCTCTACTCATTCATAAGTACTTCGAAATTTTTGTTTACAAGTAGAAATTTTTTTTTTCATTTCTTTTCCTATTTCCTACATTGATTCACAGAAAGATTAGCTGTATACATACTGCGATTAATTTGATTCGAGCTAATACAGTACAGTCTAAAATAATACATAATGTGGACAATTCTCTTTGTCAACACTCCAAAGTAAATGAAAAATGCTCCTCTCCATTATTAGATAACCGATAACGTATTATCGAATTCTTTTCTGTTCCATAGTTTCCATCTATTTCTTAATTTTTTTATGATCTATTTCTTGGTAAGTTTAGATCTACAGATCCTGGTAATAATATAAAATTCTGTGAACAATAGACCTTGTGAATTCATAGAGGGGGAAAGCTGTGCGAGCTTTCTTCCCCTACACTCAAACTTGAATGAAAAATGAACCACTTTTATTTATCAGTTGCAATCAGTATTGGTTCAGGCATGTTGCAGTTCCATTTTTCAAAACACTACTGCAACAGTTTTGTAGGATAAGGAAGAACAAAATTGTAAAAATGAAAGGAAGGGAAAGTGGAATGTCCACCTTGAAGTCCACTGAAGCTCCTTGGTTCAGCAGAATTATCATTGGGCTTAGTTAGTTAAGCAGATTAACAGATTAGTCTGGTTCCTTGAATGCTACAAAGAAGGCCTTGTGGGACTCAAGCAATGCCAGTTTCTAATGGCTGAAGGTGATCCAAAGCATCTGAATGCTATCCTCCTAGCATTCTGAAATTAGTCGCCACTAGTTCCTCTCCTTGGACCCTTTATTCTGGTCTGGACCTTATGTTAAAGCACTACATTAAATGGATCAATGTTTCATTAATAAAAGTACATTGAACAGTACACATAAACATAACTAGACTGTACACACAAAACTAACAAGCAATTGAGGTTATATAAAATCCTGTTTCCAACAGAACAGTTCAACTTCCTAAAACATTCAATTTCAAAACTATTTAAAATATAAGGAATTCCAGTTGGAAAAAAAAGTTTATATTATTTTATATAGTACCAACAAATACAACCTCAACTGAATCATTGCCAAAGATAAATAAAAGGGAATTTTTCGGTAACTTCAATAACCTCATCGTTTTATAATCATTTCTATTGTAAAGCAGGGGAAAACAGTTTCTAACTACTCATAGGTTTGTATTACATAGAATATTCGGACCAGAGGATGAGTCAACCAGAGACTTTAGAGGGTTACACAACGCCGAATAGCGTGAGCTGTATCCGGTTAATATAATTGAGGTGATTACATTGTGGCCAATTAAATGGATGAGTAAAATTGTTGGGCATAGTAACAAAAGAATCCCTATAAGGTTAATAAGTGTTTACGACTGGTAAACGTCCAACGGGTAGAGTGAAGCGAAGGTGGGAAGATTGCTTTAAGTAAGGCTGATGGGGTTGTGTTTGGATGATACCAGTGAAGGTATTTGGATGACTTGGTGGTGTCGGCATCGAACATTCGGTTTCGCTAAGCCTTTTATCATTATATTATAGTAACAACAAAACATTGACAATAATGAGTGACAACTTCAGCTGAATCATCGATGAAGATAAATAAATAGGTATTTTTCGGTAACTTCAATTGCCCCATTATTTTATAATCATTTCTATTGAAAAGCAGGGAAAAATAATTTTCAACTACTCCTGGGCTTGGTTTCATTGTAATCAAACTTCAAAACAATAGAAAAATATAATTATTGAAACAACAATATTTGATCAAATCAGAATTATTCGCTAAAAAAGAAGCATTAATACCAAAATATATAAGGAAAAATAAATTATTATACATGTTCAGAAAAGCTAATTAAGCATACATTCTTAAAAACTAAATTAAAAAAAAACATATACTTTATAACAAAATGAGAGACTTTGTCAAATCTCAGTCAAAATATTGATTGACCATAAATATAAAATATGGCTAACCTCATCAGTGGATTCCTGAATAGCTTCATCAAAAGTCAGGTTTCCTTTTATTCTCATAAGCAATTCATCATTATCTGAACAATTATAGAAATTTTTCAAAAATAAATCCGAACATTCTTCACTTTGTGAGTACTCTGACTCAAATTCACAAAATTCATCTTTATGGGTTTTTATTTTTTTATCAATGATTAAATGACTTATTTTATTATAATACTTTGCAGCTTGTAACTCCATAAGTTTTCTTTCATTTTCCTAGAAAATTAATCTAGTTTGATCATGAATTCATTAAAAACTAAATTACAAGAAATGCTAACAATTCTGACAGAACTTACAAATTAAAACAATAAAACTAAAAATTATATTTTATTTAATTGAAGTGAATGTATAATTAAAGCAGTATAATATCGTTTTCTTGATTGTTTATTGAAAAATATTTAAAGAAATGTTTGATTGACTTATAACTAAAACCAATGTTCGAATTATTTATAACATTTTTTTTATTTATTTATAACCAGAGACCAGATTTTTATGCAATATGAGTTTTACTACCTAGAAACTAAGATTAGTAGAAATGGGAAAATACAAAAAGCTGTTTGACTTCATCTGAGGTCCCAACTATTAGAAAATAATCAGAATTGATGTCTGGTCCTCTAAAAGATCTTACACTTTAACTACATAAAAATGCCTACTGAATACAAGAACTGCAAAATGGGAAACTGGAAACTAGAATCTTATCACCACTGCAATTCAGTTCGGCATCCTTCACATTAGCTGTGTTTACTTTCACTTTCCTACAGATGTAATATAAAGTAAGGGAAAGTTTCGTATAATGGTGTTACTTTGAATATGCAGGGTTGCATTGTCACATCACGCTTTTCAAATTGGACCAGCTATGGCAGGCTTCGTGTTGATGCGAGTGAGTGTGGTACACCAGTTTTCAGGAAAGTCTTAATTATTTGCGGCAATTGATTCAAATCGTCCAGTGGCGTAACCTGCAGTGAGATCCAAGAATTCCTGTTATTGCTGATCCTGATACATTTACACTCACCTGTTTTAACTTCACCAGGCCTCAGTTTCACAGTATTGACAAAACATCGGTCAAGTTAAGTTTTTTTTTTGCCTATATAATCTAGATTGTTTTCCCATTTTTTAATTTCTGTAAGATAATTATTTCATCTGTGGTATATGAAAATGTAAATGTGGGAAGTTTGACAGGATAACTTCGTTACTATTATTAACCTAAAGATGAACAAAATTTCGTTGACGATCCTGGAAATAATAATGTATTGATGAAAAGAGATAATAAGTATTGATGTAGCACCAGTGAGGAAGACAAGGCAAAGTGTGGAAGGAGAGAGAGAAACTTTATTTTCATAAAAATATAAAATATAAAAGATTGCTGCCCAATTATATTGGGTTGCTATATACACAGCATACTCTTTAATCCTTAGGACAATAGATGAACTTATATATAAAAGAAGACCAAATCAGTGAATCCTCAAAAAGCGACCTGGATATACCGTTCGAAGAGAGTGAGAATAGTCTCACTAGGTTATTTGAATCACAATCAGAGGATTAACCACATGCAGAGAACATAACTAAACATCTACAGCTGACTGGTGAGCAGTCTTCTACATCTTCTGCCTCCAACGAGCAATGTCAGTGTCAGCGTCAATCCTTGCCTACATTAAAAGAAAAGCCAATTAGTGATGGGGTGTTTGTGGTGGTAACTTATCAAGGACGCCGATACCCCGGCAAAGTTATAAGACAGGATGATGGATAATATGAAACAACTTGCATGGCTAAATTCGGGAAGTGATGGATTTGGCTAAAATTTGGCCGAAGATAAACTGTGATTGAAACAAAAAAGTATAGCAGGAAGAATCCGTGCCCCTACCCAATTATCTGAGGAAACTTCTAAATTTGCTATGGACATAAAACAATGATTTTTTCTAAAGTAACACAGATGAGTGTGCCTAGTTTGAAGTTTTTTTATCAGAGTTAATTAATAAATTTCTTTTTTCGTTTTTGTGAGTTTCATTTTTTCATTTACTTTTCTATGAGTAAAACTGAGTAATTTGAACATGGTTTTACTTAACATCACTTCTTGGTTGTCTCCTGAGATCCCATATTGTAATGTGGGATTTCCCAATTAAAAAAACATGATTTGGTCAAACCAAAAAAAAAAAAAAAATCGTCAATAACTATTTTATTAAAATGTGGAGGAGCTATTTAGCGGGTATTAATGGAACACAACTCAAAACAAGTATGAAAATAGCCAGTAACAAAGAATTTCTCTATTCCATTCAAGCGGAAAATTAGTGCATGTATTTAAAACTGAGATGTATAGCTTTAGTTTAGTGAAATAATTTTTAAAAATTTTCGAATTACTGAAGGGAAACAGTACAAAATACTGACAATCTGTCCTAAAGTAACCCCGTTTTACGGTATTGCGATTGTGAAAATTTTCTAATCAGAGTTTTCAATAAAAATACAAGTTTTGAGGTCCCATGAGTCCAAATAACCAAGTACCACAAATGGGTCTGTATTGAACAGCCTAGCTCAAAAAAATGAAAAATCGTAAGAAACTGAAATTGCATATTTTATTGCAATTGCATATTCAAGGTTTTATGAGATGTTACAGCAATTTTTTCGTTAAAATCGGCTAACCGGAAGTATCACTTTATATCATCGATTTTAGACATTTTTCTCAAAAACTGCTTTAACGATTTTGATTAAATTCATTATATCAGTGTAAAATTAATAATGGAACTATAAAAAATGGTTAAATATGAAATTGTATAACATAAAAAAAATTGTGGGAGAGAGGTAAGGAAATAGGTTGAGCTCCACATTATCAAGGTCATATATATTCTAGTTCTGTTATGTGGGGCAGAGAATTGGTTCCTTCTGACAAAAAATAGAGCCAAATAACTACAGCAGAAATGTAGCACTTGTATGGAGGGGCTTCTAAAATACACAGGGATAGAACCAAGAGTGAAACTATCAGAATTGAATATCCCACTAATGAAAGGAGACCCTTAAAAAGAGGCAGTTGAGAAGGTACAAGAATGTATGCAGAATGAGCCCTGACCAAGATATATGAAAATTTATGGAGTCAAGACAAGTATATACTAGACCTAGAGGAAATCCTCACCTTAGCTACAACAGCTATATATCTATATATACATATAAGTTGGGTCAAGAGAGAGGAGAAACATTGCAGGAGATAATGAATCTGTTGAGACAGAGAAATAAGGAGGTCCTGAATTGGATCAACTCAATGCTGAATAGAGTAGAAGAAGCAGAGGAAACAGCTTTCAAATAAGTGAAGAAAGACAGAACAACAGCAATTTAGAAAATAAAGATTGAGATCTTGCCCATATCCTATGATATTTTATTACTCACAGCATTTGGACTGCAAAGACTGCTATCAATAACTGAATTAACTAATGAAGAAGAATAAAAGGTTTAACAAACAATAATAGATACCAACAATTAAGCTTTGGATAATAGTAATTTTCTAAATCTTAGGAATTCTTAACATAAATACAAATTTGAGATAACTTACACAGAGTGTTCCTTTATTGATATCCAATCTGTCATAAAGAGGAACAGAACTAACAGAATCAATAATTGATCTTAAATTTAAAGGAGGTAGGTCTTCCTCAAGAATTAATGCTTCATAAGAAGGAATCTCTTCACTTAGTATACCCATCAGTATTGGCTCAATCTCCTTATATCTAAAATAAGTGGACATAAAAATGAAAGTAGATGGCTTTACTACATTCTACTGTTAAACAAATTGATATTACCTAATTTCTCCTCTCTGACTTCCAGTATCTAATTGTCGTACAATGTCAACAGTTTATTCTTCTTTTTTAAGTATTAAGTATCATCAGCAAAACATTCAAGACAAATAAAAATTATTATGTTCTGAAATGATAAAGACAATCAATAAAATAAATTTGTCAAAATATTGTCCATCGCACAATATATAAAAAATAATTATGTCCCTTTCCATTTAACAAAACATTATACTAATGATCATTTCTATGAACTTATCAAGACTTACGGTATGGTAACACCATAATTTCAAGATTCTCACTGGTTTTATCCATCAAGGCCACTGCTCTAAACCCATATTTCAAAATTAATTATAAAATGTTTGTATCTTGTAATATAAGTTCCAGTAATGAAGTATGATTTTCAACTGTAATTAAATAATTCCTTTCCTAAAGTACCTCTTTTGATTTTAGTAATTTATTACAGACTACATAACATAAGTACACAGAAATGTTTTTTTTTTGCTCTAAGCATAAAAGAAAATGATGATAAATCTAAAACATTAATCATATTTAGTAAAAATAAGTAAATAATTTGGGTAGAACATGTAAATATCTTCTACATGTGCAGAATTACTTCAGTAACCCTTTAGTAATGGTACTTCTTAAAATATTTAGTTTGTTTGAGACCTTCTAACAGCAAATGATGCTTACAGTTAACAGCACTATTGACCAATATCTTATATTTGTTGGCTTTATACCTCTGATAAAATAAAGGCCAACCAATTCTTTCAAGATCATTTTCATTTCTATAATTCACAACATTGTGGTTATAAAACATAAATAAGAATGAAGGAGCTACTGTCAGTATTTTTATGCCGGAATTAATAAATAAGACCTAAACACTACAAACTAAAATTTGTCAGTTTCAAAATAATATCATAAAATTGTATTAACATAAAGAGTTCATCTGTTAATTTTTCAATAACTTTACCATGAATAATTTTCAAATAAAATAAAAATAATTGATTAACCTCGACATAAGTGGCTATTCAGTACTGACATTACCAATTCAGCAATAATTACTGATACCATTCATGTATTATTAATACTTCAAAATATATTGCATGAAAGTCTAAACAATAGATGAAATAAATATATAAGTTTATCTATTACATTAATTCAATAATGATCTAAGCTACAATGAAATTACAATAAGATTAAACAAAATTTATAAAATCAAACAATACCATTAAAGACTAATTAATAATCAATTATTTTAATACCTTCACTATGAATATTATTTAGGAGAATAAAAAAGCCATTTTCAACCAATTTAATGAAACATGATTTAACAGGAGTAATTATGCCAATTGGAGTATAAGATAAATTGTTAATCAAAATAAAATTGTAATATTGAATGATTCTAACGGAAGATCTCTTGATCAAGAAATTAAAAAATCAAAACTAAATAATCGTCAAGGAATTAACAAATTCAAACAGAGATAGCCACAAATTGACACTGGCTGTCATTCAAAAGTGGAGATGTGTAGTTCGTGAACGTCCTAGTACAGGAAAAAGAAAGAAGAAAGATCTTATGGTGAACTATAGATCTAATCATACTATGTGATTGATGCTTGACTGTAGTGAATAATTGAAGAGAAGTTGGTTGAGATGTCCAGTCAAAAATTAATAAATGATATTCATTTTTATTTTTGCCGACGTTTCAGCCCAAAGTTCAGGTCTTCATCAGGGCTAAGAAAAGACCAGATAACACTAGGTATGAGAAACTATTAACATAAAAAATAAAATAATATTATGTGGATGAAAGGTATAGTCTAATAACGTGTAGGAAGAATAAACTTAACATTAATAAATAAGTGGAGAGAAGATATATGAAAAATAAATACAAGAAATTTAAATATAGATCTAATCCTACTGCTGTTTTTGTTTTAGAGGGGCCCATTTTGCGACACTGGGTTTCAATATAGAGCAACTTTTAAACGGAGGAACAAAGGGAAAATATAAAACAGACCACATTAGGCATACATTTATGAGATCAACATTTTTTTAAATTTCCACTTACGCTTTCAAGAAAAGAAGGGTAATAAAATTTCTTAGGTTCATCCACCTCGAGTGTTTCTTTGTTTCAGTCAGATTTTCCTTTTTTCCCCCAAAGGATGAATTTAAAAATGCCTTCAGTCCAAATATATACAAAATAATATGTAATGTAAGTAAATATAATATATATGTCCATTCGGGCAATCCATCCCACGTTTTTGTCCTTTATGTACCCCTAGATCATGAGACAGTCATCACCATATTTTGGATCAGGTTGAACTTCCTCCTGTCGGTGGGGAGTGCGCCAGGTTTTTTCCACATCATCAATCGTCCATCCAACCCAATGCAACAACAGTCGCCTTCAGTCATCAATTGTACATTTTTAAATTTTTATTTAAATTTCAACCGTCGTTTTTTTTATATTTTAGATATAAATGGCTTTTTGATCATTACTCCTGTCACAAATCTTTATATATAACCATATGAACTCTGAATTTTCATAGCTCTTCTAACGGTGTTAGCCCTGACACTAAGTCCCAAATATCTTCTGAATCTGTATTGGCCTTCAACAGCTGTAGCTATACCACCCATCCTAATTTATCAAACAAATAATTTCCTGTTTCTTTCGGGAAATTTATTTTGGTCGTCCTCTAACATATTTGAACAATTTTGGAACTTCGGTCTTCACATAGATCACTGTAAATATCTTCACATATTTTTTTCAAAATGGCAATAAATCAGAAATGAAGTTTTTAGCGCGGTATGTCACGCAAGGCGGAATGTGCAATTTTACTAATTAATACATACTGAGTAGCATTATATTAAATGAGAGTCCAAAAAAATGCTACCTTCATTTGGATTCGAAGCACTAACGTTTACTAGCGGATCCAGGATTTAATTTTGAGGAATTCAGGATTCAGCCCGAAAGATTTTTTTTCATATACATATAACGATAATTAATTTGAAAAAAAAAACAAAGAAATTAACTACCTACACTGACAGGAAAAAATTCCACCCACTTGATTTTATCATGTTTTCATCTAAAAATATTTCTGCTTTGGATTGATCTATTGTTAATAAATAGGTAATCTTTTTGTTTGTTTTCAATTAGGAATGTTAATATAGAGGACAATAACCCTTAATCCTTAATTCAATGAAATGATTCTAGATTCCAATGTTTACTTTCTATGAAATTAAAATGTTTATTCAGTATCATTAGTTCAGTGCCGTTTCTTGCAGCTCATTTCTTAGTCTCCGGCTTTTAATTTTTTCAATATTAAGTTTAAAGATGTCTCTTAGTGCTGAGGATGTTGCGCGTGGTGTGGCACTTATTGATGATGGACGTTCCATTAGATATGCAGCTAATGCCATCGGAGTTCCATATGAAACTTTAGGAGACGCCGACAGGTGTTTCCGGGAAACTGGTTCTTACAATAGAAGGCCCGGTTCTGGACAGCCTAGGGTAACATAACCACGGGATGACCGGTTTTTGACTTTCAGAATTTTACGAAACCGGCACCTTACCGTTGTTCAAGCGATTCATCAGCTCGAAGAAGTTTGAGGTGTGCAAATTTCTGAACGTACCGCTCGGAGAAGATTAAATGAGTATGGATTAATGGCTTTTCGTCCAGTAAGAGGACCAGAGTTGACCAGAACTCACAGAGTAAAACGGCTGGCTTTTGCTCGAGAACACAGCCATTGGACTATGTACGAATGGAGTGCTGTACTTTTTGCAGATGAGTCAGAATGAAATTAGTAACAGCCCAAACGAGTCAATTGATGGACTCATTGGAAATAACGATAGCAATAATACGAATTATGCCTCCTGTAAAATACCACTAATAAACGATTTCCGGATGTCCAATGCTATTTCTATTAGTCCTGATCCTAATGGAAAATTTAAAGACGTGGAGGAATTTAAATCCCAAATAAAGCTAGCTCTTCGGCCTAAGAGCAAATGCCTACAAATTGATAAAATTTTCAATACCAAACAAACAGGCTTAGTAGTTATAGCGGGGAGAGATTCCGATAAGAAAGCTTTACTTAAAGACCCAGATATATCGAAACTCGGCAAGGTATCTGAAACAATTAAGCTAAAGAATCCACGCGTAATTATAAAAGGCGTACCCAGGAAAGTAGAAGACGCAGAATTTACAATCGTAGAACTGATCGAATGTATCTTGGCTCAAAATGAAGAAATTGAACTAGGCCACCCTGAAGAGTGCAAGCTTGCATTTTACACTGGTAGAAGATCGGAACCGAGAGTCAACATGGTCCTGGAAGTCAGCCCACGCTTAAGAAATATGCTCGTATCCAGAGGACACTTATACTTAAATTTAGATATTTGTAAAGTTGAGGACTTTAAAGATGTGACAAGGTGCTTTCGTTGTCAAAGATTTGGGCATGTGCAGTCTAAGTGTAAGCACCGTGGTGCTCATGGACATAAAGTAGGGAATTGTCCAAGTTTAGACCAGCCACCAAAATGCGCGAATTGTCAGCTGAAACATAGATCGTCGTTTTTTCGATGCCCAAGTCGGAGTGAGGCAATTAAATGGTTCATGAATCTCACTGACTATGGACGACAACGTTAATCAATGTCCCCGCTGCGACAGGAATTTTGGCACTCGTTCGGGTATGGGTCTTCACATCAAGCGTGCTCACCCCGTCTTCTTCAATGATAATATTAACACGGATCGGAAGAAGGAGCGTTGGACTAGAGAAGAGCTTCAATTACTAGCTCTGAATGAAGCATCACTGATCGCTCAAGGAGGAAATGTAAGGATTCGGGACCTTGTCGGTATGCAACCCGGTAGGTCTATATGGAGTATACGAAAGGCTAGAACAAAAGAACAATACCAGGATCTCCTTCAGAGAGTCATGGAAGGACGTAACGATGAAGCCGCAGATCCTAACCCAGCTGTTGCCATAAATAATGGCACCACGGATAAGCAGGAATTTCTGAAAGCAGCCAGAGACTTATGCCAGGAGATAACTGATCCTAATTCAGTATTGGCTTCACTTTTGGAGATTGCAGAGGAGGAGGAAGACATTTCGGAATCTCTTAACGCATGGCTCGATTCAGTGGTGAATGTGAAAAGCAACATTTCAAATGAATCTGGTGAAAGATCATTGCCCGCTAATTCTACTGTCAGAAGAAGGGAGCAGTTCAAGAAGATTCAAAAATTATGGACAAGAGATAGGAAGAAAGCGGTTTGCGAAGTGTTCAACGGTACCACAGCCCGTAACAAGCACAATATTGAGCAACTCGAATCTTTCTGGAGGCCGCTGATGGAGAGAGCATCATGTCCCAATGTGCCGGATACGCCAATTCCGCATCAGAAGTTGTTTACATTATGGCTGCCAGTTACAGTTGATGAAGTCAAATTAAACGCTATGGACAAAAAATCATCAGCGGGACCCGATGGTATCACTGTAAAGCAGTGGGAATCTGTTGCCCCCTTACATAGGGCCATATTTTATAATATATATCTGTCCAACCCACCCCACTTACCAAAGTTAACTGCGGCCCGGACTATATTCATTCCGAAAACGGATGATCCCGCTGGTCCTTGTGAATATAGACCCATCACAGTTGCTTCAGTCCCTCTTAGACAAATGCACAAGATAATTGCAACTCGTCTAAACGAAATGGATTTGCATCATGTAAACCAGCGAGCGTTTATTGCTTCCGATGGCACTGCAGAAAATATATTCTCATTACAGTCAATAATAGACGACTCTAAAATGAGAAAGAAGGAAATCCATGTAACGTTTATGGATATTGCCAAAGCTTTTGATAATCTGAGCCATAATGCACTTTATAGAATCTTAGAATGGAAGGGTATGCCAGCTGGACTTATTGGTTACATGAAGGGGCTATATAGCAAATGTTATACCCACATTACAGACAAAAAGCAGCATACGGATCCTATTGTATGCGGAAGAGGTATAAGGCAGGGTGACCCATTATCCCCTAGTCTCTTTAACATGGCAATGGATTGGGTAATCCATTCCCTTCCAGATGGAATAGGCTACGATATGGGAGGAACAATGGTAAACTGCCTGGCATTTGCAGACGACCTAGTCTTAATCACATCCTCATCGAAAGGCATGAAAAGATTACTATCGGATGCAGCTGCAGCTATTCAAGATCTGGGAATGGAATCCAACCCAGCCAAATGCTTTAGCTTTTCTCTCGTCAAGGCCGTCAATTCTAATGTTATGAAGGTTGATAACAGATATCATTTCGTAGTAAATGGCGCTAGAATCAAGCAGTTGGGTATCTTGGATTGCTGGAAATACCTAGGAGCGAAATTTTCGTTGAACAACATGAATGCCGAAGGGATTATCGATGAATTATCATTATTGCTGCACAAAACAAACACTGCACCCCTAAAACCTCAACAAAAATTAGTGACTTTGAGAACTTATCTCATCCCGAAATTCATTCATCTCCTCACACTGAGCCCAAGCAAAATGAACGAGTTGAGAAAGTTGGATATCTCAACGAGAGCGGCAATACGTTCCTGGCTGCGACTGCCTCAGGATACCCCTACTCAGTATTTCCATTCTGCTTGTACTGATGGTGGTTTGGGAGTAATGAGCTTTAGCAGTGCTATACCCTCACTCAAGCTCGCGAGGTTACGACGTATGGAGTACTCTGGTTGCCCAGTAGCAAGAGCCGCCTATCATTCCTCCTTTATCACTAAGGAAATGAGAAAACTCACAAGCAACCTCACGAAAATGGGCCTCAACGCGGAAAACACTTCCAGTGAAGAACGAAAGAAAACGCTGTCCATGAAGTTATATCGTAGCGTTGATGGTAAGGCATTAAGGGAGTCAAAAAACTGCCACCCATCAACTCATTGGTTGACAGACTACGCGGCTCCGATAACCGGACGGACCTTCATACAGACGGTAAGAACTCATATAAATGCCCTCGCGACCCGAGTGAGATTATCCAGAGGACGTAGGGCTTTTATGCCGACCCAATGCAGAGCTGGGTGTCCTGCAAGCGAAACTGCCAGCCATATTATTCAACATTGCATTTTGTCTCACGGTGGTAGAGTGCGCCGGCATGATACAATAGTGAACATGTTGGAAATTGCTCTCCAAAAAAAAGGATACAGGGTCACAAAGGAGCAAATGTTTGTTGGTAATAGACGAAGGTGGAAGCCAGACCTGGTGTGCTCAGGACTAAGCGGACACTTCATTATAGATGCACAGGTCGTCGGGGATAACCCTAGCACCACTCACTGGAACAATGTCAAAGCCAATAAATATAGGGACCTAGATTGCAGGATGGCGATCGGGCGTACACTGGGAGTGCCAGGCGTGGACATAAAAGTACTGCCGCTCACAATAACTTGGAGAGGAATATGGTGTCGAAGATCTTTCCAAGACATGGATATGTTGGGAATTCCCAAGAGAACGATGAACGCTATTACAATAAGAGTCCTTAAAGGGTCCCACATGAATTACAGTAATTGGTTCAGGCTGCTTCCTCGTTTATAGCATGATATTCAATGATTATATCGATGTCATAATTTACATTTTTACGTTTTGTTTTATTTATCTTTATTTTTATTTTATTTATCTATTTATTTATTTCATTTTTATTCGTTTAATTTTATGTTTATTTATTTATTTATTATTTTTTTTTTTTTTTTATTTATTTTATTTTATTTATTTATTTATTTATTTTTTTTTATTTATTTATTTATTTTTTTATTTATTTAGATATGTACTATAGTACTACTTTTTTATGACTTATATTGCGGAGGGATTGCTACCTCCGTGGTTTTTAAAATTACTTTATATATAGTGTGTATTTTATGTATGTATATGAATGTATGTATATTTTTCTTTTATACTTTTATCGACGCAGCTGCTTTTTGTATGTAAATGCAATGCTCAGTATATTATAACTTAATATTAGTATGTTTTCTTTTTTTTTTTTATATATGATTCTTGGATTCCAATATCCAAGATAAAACGTTACGATGGTGAAGGTAGCACCAAATTGAATTGGAAATTGAGAAAGGTCTGGAGTTTTGTTACTTCGAAAAATATATTAACTATGTATGAACTACCAAATAAATAAATAATAAATAATTTTGCAGATGAGTCAAGATTCGCTTTTCGATCTCCAGACGGGCGTGAAAGGGTGTGGAGAAGAAGAAACGAAAGATATGCAACCTGTAATTTTTCCCAGAGCCAACCTTTCCAACGTGGTTCCTTAATGGTGTGGGATGGGATTTCAATGGATCGCCGCACAGAATTGATTGTTGTTCGTGGAGGGTCTTTGACGGAAATTCGCTATGTAAATGAGATTTTGTAACCTCGTGTGTTGCCTATCCTCAACGAAATCGACGATCGTTCGCTTGAACAACGGTAAGGTGCCGGTTTCGTAAAATTCTGAAAGTCAAAAACCGGTCATCCCGTGGTTTTGTTACCCTAGGCCGTCCAGAACCGGACCTTCTATTGTAAGAACCAGTTTCCCGAAAACGCCCGTCGGCGTCTCGTAAAGTTTCATATGGAACTCCGATGGCATTAGCTGCATAATATCTAATGGAACATCCATCATCAATAAGTGTCACACCACGCGCAACATCCTCAGCACTAAGAGGCATTTTTAAACTTAATATTGAAAAAATTAAAAGCCAGAGACTAAGAAATGTGCTGACAGATACGGCACTGAACTAATGATACTGAATAAACATTTTAATTCCATAGAAAGTAAACATTGGAATCTAGAATCATTTCATTGAATTAAGGATTAAGGGTTATTGTCCTCTATATTAACATTCCTAATTGAAAACAAACAAAAAGATTACCTATTTATTCATTAAAAACAATAGACCAATCCAAAGCAGAAATATTTTTAGATGAAAAAATCAAGTGGGTGGAATTTCTTCCTGTCAGTGTATATATACACACACATATATATAAGGGTTGGAGTAGCCGTGCGGGCTAAGGCGCTTGCAATAGGTAACAAAGTTAAGCAACGCCGAGCGCGGTTAGTACTTGGATGGGTGAACGTCCACCAGGGAAAGCCACGCTGCCCGAGACACCCCCCTCCAGGTTTGTGAGACTCGTCAGACTACTGGAGGCAACTCGCACTGTGCGGGCGTAGGATTGATGATCCTACCACCGTGTACTTAAATCAGGAATCGGGATGTGGTTTAGAAGACCACATCTCGCGGTCAAAGATCTACAAGGTCTGTAACGCCAACCGGAATATATATATATATATATATATATATATATATATATATATATATATATATATATATATATATATATATATTTTGTTATATTTTTATCGACGCTGCTGCAATTAGTATGTAAATGCAATGCTTAATATATATAATTTAATGATAGTATGTTTCTTTGTACGATTCTTGGATTCAAATATCCAAGATAAAACGTTATAATGTAGCACCAAATTAAATTAGAAATTGAGAAAGTTGTAAGAATTTTGTTGTGTTGTGAAAAGTATGATATATGTATGAACTACCAATTAAATTATATATCTATTCTAATATATATATTAGAAAAAATCCTTAAAGATAATCAATTATTAAATTTTGCAATTTTTAATTTCTATAAAAGTTCGTATTCAAGAGTTTTAAAGGACACTTAATACGAATCTAACTTGCTTTTTCATAATAAAACTTTACTTGAAGCGCCTTTTGGTATTTGTAATTTATGATACATTATAACTCATTTAATACAATAATCAATATTTTTTTCCTATTCTGAACAATGGAAAACATTGGTTGAAAATCCGGACATAGCAAAGGGAGTAATAAATAACATACATTTTGTATGAAATTATCTAAATTTTTTTTCTTGTCTCTTAGGGCCCATTAGAACAAATTTGGTTGATATCGGTGACCCATTACTTGTAGTAAATTGTTGTAAGTAAATTACAAGGGTGATTCCGTTATTAGTGGATTGACTTCGTCTTCCATAAGTTAAAGAATGTCATCTTTGATGAGTTTGAAATGCATTCTGATGGATTTTTGATGGCATTGATATGTTCAGCCCTGAGTTTAGGAATTTTCCCAGTAGATATTGAGATCAAAATCTGTTTATTTTCAATTAGAAAAATCTTATTTTTTTTTTTAAGATTGAGATCATTGTCCTGTGTAACCATCTTTCTCATAGTGTGAACTTAAACTTACAGTCTCTATGGAGCATGTTTGTAACCTTAAGTATAGGTGTCCATAGTTTGTTGTTTTTCCTGCTGATGAATCTTTACTCTCGGTTAGCAAAATGGATAAACAAAGGTACTTTGAAGGTAATTACAGAAGAATGCCATCTCAAAATTTGGCTGGTGCGAGCAGACAAAGTAATGTGTCTGAGGTAATAGACAAAGCACAATATGAGAGAAAAAAAAGAGAAGTAAGTAACTGAAATTTGAATTTTATTTATGGAGTGTCATGGTTCTTGATTCTGCATTGAATTTGATTCTGGGTTGTAAATGTTTTATATTAATTTTTTTATACAATATAAATTATATAATAACTATAATATCAAAATGTTTTTGAATATTTGAGGGAGTTTATCACTGGGTTTTAGAAATTCTTGTGTGTTGTTCTCCTTCTTCATTTTTATGAAATAGACGTACAGGGTTAAAGTATATAATGTCCAAAATTGAAGGTAGTGATTTTAGATTTCTAATCAACTGTGTAGTTCATTTGGGTGGGCCATAGTCATTTTCTGGTCAGGGAAGGAGCAACTTTATTGATGAATTATATATATATATATATATATATATATATATATATATATATATATATATATATATATATATATATATATTCATGTATGTATGTATCGATTTATGTATTCACCCATTTTGCGAGGAACAGGATTGGAAGAATCTCTTCTAAGTAGAAAAATTCAGTATTATTAAACAAATGTCACTCCACTTTCATCGCCGGCACAAGATATCATAATCACACCTTACATGGTATCCTGATACTGGCCAGTGTATTTGAAAGTAGGAAGAAGGGATTGAACCGTCTAGTAGCGCCCTGACCTCCATCGAATAGATCTATTGTAGGTTTGTTTATACCTTTAGAGTGAGCATAGCGAGTGGGAAAGCAGCTATGTAGTTAAAGCTAATCAATGCCTCGATTTTATCTGAAAAGGACCTGTAGGAAGTTTCTTGAAGTTGGGTATCATAATTTAAATAAAGGGAGGTTTCACTGTGAACATGTCAATCCTCCACTATTCTCAGGATCCAATTTATACTGTGAAATAGGGACCTTAGCCCACTGTACGAGGAATCAAAAACTCTTTTAGAAAATGTATCAATAACCTTGCCCTTAAGAGTGCATCCAGTGCTTACTCTATTAATATCTAGCTGCGGTTGAATGATGGTATTAGAGAAGTCAGCTGGCTCAAAGAATTAATAAAGTTCAACGTTTTCAGCATACAGATGATGTTGGGAATTTAGGATAGAGAGCGGAAAGTAATTGAGGAAGATAAAAAGAATGAATAGTGTAATGTATCAATGACTTCACTTTAAATCGAACAGACAATTTCCATTTATTGTTCCTGATTACATTTGTCTTGTTAATAATGACTAAAAAACATATGACTAATTACCAAAAAGATTTAGTATTTAACCCTTTAACAAAAGGTTAATATACTACATTCTTTCCAGCCTCAACAAAACAACAATTTAACTAAACAAACTCTTAAATTTCCTCTATAAGTGTTTTTACAGGTTTTGTAGTTCTCCGTAGGCACATTTGAGTTTCTTCGCTGGGAGTAGCCGTCACAATAAGACTTCTCCAACAACATAGGCAAATCAGTGGATATTTGAGGATCGCTATCTGATTTATTTTTAAGTGGCATTCCCTGGAGGCTCCTCGTCGCTAAACGATTTGATTGATATTTCTTCCTTTGGTGCCAATCTTACTTGGCCCATATGACGAATCCACGTTGTTTTCTTTGATGGTACAAACACTTTCATTTTAGCCGGACCAAGATGATTATTCACTGTACCCTCTTATCTTCCCTCCGGTTGTGATTAATTACTCATACTCTATCTTCCTCTGCAGACCAGTTCTTCCTATTGGACCTTCCTCCATATGTTTTTATTGTTCTTTCTTGTTGCTGTTACACTTTAATCTTGGTTGAAGGAGGTTTCAATAGATCGAGTCATGTTCGTAATGGTCTTCCAAACAAAGCTTAAGCTGGAGATATTCCGGTAGTAGTATGTGGGCAGTTGCAATAGTCAAGCAGAAAACGGTTTAGTAAAATGCTTCAATCAAAACACTTTTCAGAGCATAGCGCAATCTTCAATGCTTTCTTAACAGTCCGCACCACATTTTCAGCTGCTCCATTGGTTTTGGGTGAATAAGGTGGTGCATGTATATCACTCCATGTCAATGTCACTCCATTGCGAGACAAAAAATTTTTTAATATTTCAGAATCAAATGCCAAGAAATTGTCACAAATCAATTCTTCCGGCAAACCAAATCTTGCAAATAGTTGACACAAAATTTTAACTGTGGTAGAGGTTGACATTGAACGCTCCAAATTTGCCCCTTGAAATTGATGACTGGAGGCTCAATGTCAGCCAGCAGTTCAAATACCTCGGATACTGGTTATCTTCAAAGGGAGGTAGTGAGGTTGACATCGAACATAAAATAAATAATGGGAAAAGAATAATAAGTTCGATAAATTCAACCCTATGGAGTAAAGAAATAAGTTTAGAAACGAAAAAGAAAATATACCATTCCTTTGTAGAAAGCGTAGCCACTTACTGGTCAGAGGTTTGGACAATGACAAAAAAGATGGAAAATAAGTTGCTTTCCATGGAAATGGATTTCTGGAGAAGAAGCTGTGGCATATCTAGAATCGAGCGGATCCCAAACGCAGCAATTAGAGACAAGGTCGGATTTCAAAAGAACATCCTTCACCTGATCGGGACCAAACGGTTAAAGTGGTATGGCCACTTAATGCGGATGGATGAGAACCGCTGGCCAAAGAAAATTTATACCTATATGCCACCTGAAAGAAGGAAGCGTGGAAGGCCAAAGAAGAAATGGATAGAGGACATGGAGGAAAGCATGGCAGCCAGAGGGCTCCGTGAAGGAGATTGGATGGACAGGGAGCAGTGGCTTTTGGGTGTTGGGGATATGACTCTTTAAGTTGTATAAAACCAAATAAAAAAAGAGGTTGACATTGAAAAAGTTGGAAAAACCTCAAGCCATTTTGAATGGCTATCGATTACAATTAAAAAATATTTCACAATAAACAGACATAAATAATCAATGTGCAACCTCTTCCAGGGCTTGGATGGCCATTGCCAAGGTACTAATGGCATCACTGGATTATCTATTGTAATATTACAAGCTCGGCATTCTTGTACTGTTTTTTCGATTGCCTTGTCCATTTTAGGCCATCATACGTATGAACGGGCTAATAATTTTAATTTCACGATTCCCAAATGTGAAGCATGTAACTCCTCCAAAACTTGTTGGCTTAAAAGTTCAGGAGCTATCACTCTGCAACCCCATAACAGAATATCTTTCTCCACAAATAATTAATTCTTCCCTATGTGATGAAAAGGGTTGGAGCTCCGGGTCCACTTCTGTTGGCCAGCCCACTTTTGTGTACAATATAACTTTCATCAAAATCGGATCTTTCCTAGTTGCTGCCAATATCTTTTTAAAGTCTAAAGGCAAATATTCATTGCTATCAAATATATAATTAATGCATAAATCAACTTCTTGGGATCCTCTGCTGCCCTCATGGCAAAAGGCACAGGCCTTGCTTTATGAACTTAGGTTTAACACCCGATTTTAATTCTAATGTTATCGTTCCACCTATAAAAGCTCCAAGCCGATCAGAAAACACCTCTGGATAACAATGTATGGCTTCATCCCATAAAATTGATTCCTCATTACTAAAAAATTAAAGTTTTGCCTCATAGCAAAACTCCCCTCAAGAAGGGGACCATCCGATTCCAGACTTGAGTATATGCGACTGTTATAGTCAACATCCACGTTTAAACTGCCAAGAGGTGCCCACCTTTCCTAAAAGTATGAGACAAAAGTCTTCTTTGCAGCTCCCAATTTTAAGCCAGGCAGTTTCTTTTTAAAAAGTTTAAGAGACAAAATAGTACTTGAACAACCAGTATCTACCTGAAATACTATATCAACCTGGTTGATTTTTAGGTTTACCTGATATCCTGATTCTTTAGGAGAACTGTCAATTTTACATAGGCATTCGAGATCAGAAGATACATCCTCCTCTATATAGTGTGGTCTTTCTTTCAACCCTTAGTTATTCGGTTGCCTTCTATCCAACTTACACACTCGAGTTAGATGGCCTATTTTCTGATAATTATTGCAGATATATTCTCTAAAACGGTATTTGCCAGGGTCATGACCCACTTTACCACAAATGCTACATTTGTTTGGATATCTTTTATTAGTTTGCCCCCCTTGAGACTGATGGTCTATCTTTTTCTCTACTAACAAAGTTCACAGGTTCCTTTTTAACCGCTACATCTAAATTATACTGCCTAAATGTAGCCTCTTTTGCAGTAGCTATTTCTATAGCCATATGCAGTGAAATATTCACAGGATTTTCTTCGAACAGCCGATCCCTTATCGGTCCTTTATTCATACCTATAACAAATTTATCTAATATAATAAAATCAAGATAATTGTTGAATGCACAATGGGAAGCCAGGTCCTGAATGCCAGCTACCCATTCATTTATTGATTCAGTATCTTCCATAGCTGCATTGTAGAATCTGTAACGGTCTCCAAAAAGTGATTCAGAAGGGACAAAATATTTATCAAATAATTTTAAAAGTTCTGAAACAGTTAAACCTTTTGGTTCCTTGGGAACACTTAATGTCGTTATAAGCTTAAAAGTTTCATCATCTAACGAATTAAGAAATAAATTGCGCCTTTGTATTTCATTTTGGATACTATTTGCATCGAAAAAGCTTTCCATCCGTGGCTTATATAGAGTCCAGTCCATATTCATTGAAAATTCTCTGAGTACCTCTATGATCGGTAACATAACCATCTCTGTGGGCTTTGCTGACGATTTATCAGGAAGTCACATAATAGTAAATAGTGTTCACTTACTTTTAGGATAAATCCTCGTCGCCAATGTATTGTATCAATGACTTCACTGTAAATCAAAAACAGACAATTTCCATTTATTGTTCCTGATTACATTTGTCTTGTTAATGACCAAAAAAAATGTATGACTTGTTACCAAAAAGATTGAATACTAAATCAATATAACATCGATTTAGTATTTAACCCTTTAACAAAAGTCTAATATACTACAGATAGGAAGTAAGGAGGAACCTTGAGGTTTGCCTTTGGACAAAGGTAGAGAATAAGGGGGAGTAGGTCTTATTGGGGACAAAATCGTACTGGGAATGGCTGGGAAGAAGGTATTGGAACTACTAAAGGGTACCAAATGATAAGGATAGAGTTTGAAATTTTTAAAGGACATTGTGGTCAACGGAATCAAAGGGTTTGCACCGTACCAGAGATTAGGGTACTGGTATAGGTAGAGGTACTGGAACAGGTGGGGGAACTCAGTCCAGCAAGTGAGCCTATTGGTGTTTTTTGCCAATCCCAGAGACAATAATGCCAATGATAGTCTATATTGCCTCCATCTCTGTCTCGAATCTTTGCTTTCTTCTTATAAAGTTAAAAAGAAAGGAACATTATAGAGGAAGCTTTCTGATCTATTATTCTATCTGAACCCACAGAAATCTGTAACTATATGACGCTTATCTATCATATTCTGTTTTATAGTGAAGGGCAGTTTCTAAAGATTAGTCGGGTTTCCCTTTTAACTAGGCCTAGCTAGCAGTTACTTAGTTCGGTAGGAGAAAGGGTTTTTAATTAACTGTTAGGCTTTTCTGATCCCTGTGCATTCCCTCCACTACTTACCTGCTTTTTTCCATATCCAATCAAGGACTTCCTTTTGCTGATGTTTCTTTGATATTCCTTTTGCTAGTTCTGCTCCTATGGTATGGATTTCATCTACTTTTTTGTGAGGATGACACCTTTCTCGTTGTTTTTAATTTCCTTATAACCAGCAAACCTCACAAGTTCTACTCTCTTGGAGTAGACCAATGTCTCCAGTGCCTCTTTACTCTCCTGCAAGCCACTTTACGGGATTCTAGAACTTGAAGTGCTGACTGACTATCAGAATGTTGCTAGCCCTCTCACAGTTGACAACTTTCAAACACGTAACTGCAGATAATATGGCAAACACTTCCGTTTGAAATAAATACCACATGAAGAAGCATTCCTAGATTGGAATGGATAGATGCTGTGACAAAAGATGCCAGCCATGTTATAAACTTCCGAGACTGGTGGTCAGCAGCACAGGATAGAGCCTCCTGGTGAAGGCTCTTGAAAAGTTTTAAGACCCACACAGGGTTGTGATTTTGTTATTTTAATTATTCTATTATTTCCAATATTTTTAAATAATTAAATATTTTACAATAACCATTATTTTATTTTATTAATTTTTAAGGGATTAACACTTGTTCACTTTTGCTATCTTTGTTTTGAATCCTTATTATAAAAAGTGTGCAATTAAAATGTATTTTCATTATTTTATTTTTTAGGCCAACAGATTAGAATTAGAAAAGGCTACTGTAATACAAGCAGTCTATAGAGGCCGAAGATGTAGGAAGGACGTTCGTTGTCAGCTGAAACTAGAACTAACAAATAAGATATTTGAGTTGAAGCAAAAACTTCAGGAATGTGTTGAATTAAATTTAGATGACATAAAATATCTTATCAGCTACATAAGATTTATTTATCCAAAAAGTTACTATTTGAGTTCATGCACCATTAAAGATAAACAAGATTGTGAAACAATCGTGAGTATTTAACAGAGTTCAATGCTTATCAAAATATATTATGATTAATATATCATTAAATTATTCCAAACGGTGATATTTGGTGTTTCTGAGAGAGATTGATTATTAATTATTATTTTCTATTAATAATTAAAACAGAAATTCAACTAAGAAATCAAAAGTTATAATTAGAGTATTATTACAAGATTCAAAACAAAGCCCATGGTATTGAATTGAGTTGATTGTGCTGTCAGAGTTCGTGGCGGGCTGTGATAGATAATAAAGTATGCTCTTACATCAGCTTTGGATTGACCCTGGGTTCTCAGCATCTATAAAGTAGACACTCTTAATTGGAGAAAAAATTAATTGGCAATTGAATGTGATCCAGTCCAAATCATCTTGCACAACCATAGACCTAAAATCAATACTTCCTTATAAAGTAATGAACCTAAAACCTTTCATGATTTGTAGTGGTAAAGATATATATATATATATATATATATATAATATATATATATATATATATATATATATATATATATATATATATATATATTTATTTTTTTTATTACCAAGTAAGAAAATTATATTATGTAATAAAATCTTCTATGAACACATGGTAATAATTTTATTTTGACCTGTTATAAGTCAACTGGGAAGAGGTAGAGGCAGCAGATATAAAATGTGAGTTTAAAGCATCAAGTAATAATCAAAAGGCTAGTGACGTAGGGGATTTAGAGGGATCACAAAGGGAAAGTTTGCAAAGGAGTGACCATTTAGTTTTGATATCACCAGCTGATGAAAGGCTTCATGGAAGTTAGAGGATACTGCGGGTATTATCATGTCTCTTCTGAAGATCTTTAATTTCTTGACACATCCAAGGTGCAGGCCGAGGATGAAAGGTAAATAAGAATATCAACCATGGAGTCGATGGAAGAGCAGGAGTATATTCCATTCCAGTCTAAGTATTCAAGATCAGGTAGTATCTTTTCACGGGTGAGATTCTCCAGATAGCGGAAAGTGAGAATTCAAGGCTAAATCAGAGGAGTTCAGATATTATAGGATGAGAAGGAGTTAATTGGGGGGTGCGGTCAAATAAATACTAAATTAAAATATAGTAATTATTTAATTTTTGCCGACATTTCGACTCACTTTGCAGGTCGTCTTGATAAAGTGGATAAGACGACCTACAAAGTGGGTCGAAACGTCAGAAAAAATTAAATAATTACTATATTTTAATTTAGTATTTATTTGACTGCACCCCCCACTTACCTCCTTCTCATATTATATCAACGGTCAACCATCTCTGCATCATTATGGATATTATAGGATATTTGAATTGGTTGTTAGATTATAGAAGAGATACTGACAGTTGTGAGGAGGAGAGGAGATTCTGGGGGGTGTCGATAATGAAGAGGTCTAAACAGGTGTCGGAGCTGCAGGTGTGGTGAGTGGGGGAAAAGGGGATGAAGAGGTGAAGCGAGAAAAATAGGTTTTCCAGATAGGATTTACCTTTGGTATCTGTAAAAAGATTGGTATTTAGGTCACCGGAAATAATTATTCCTGAGTAGAGGGGAACGAAGTTGAACATGGTTGATTCAAAGGGAGGATCAAATGGGACGAGAGGAGGATGGTATATTACCGTATAAAGGAATGTAGAAGTATAGCAGGAAATTTTGAGAGGTACTTGACTTGGGGATGGTCAGAGGGTGGGGTGTGATCGAGGATCCGGTTCTTTAAGCTATCATGGACAAAGATAGCTACACCACCGCCAGTCCGGTTAACCCGACAGAGGGAAACAGAAGAGGACGGAATGTAATGTTTGAGCCAGGTTTTGGATGTCGTGATAATGTGATATAAGTTTTGTATGAAGTACTGCAGGAATTCATCGTAATGCTCTAGAAAGGATTGGGAGTTAACGTGACAGATGGTTAGGATACTAGACATGGAAAAGATTTGACAGAAAACAGTCAAAAAATGGTTGAGAGATATAGGAATAGATAAATAACATCAAGAATTAATAAAAATAAGGAGATAAAGAGTATATATAGAGAAAACAAATCTTAAATGAGTTGTAAATAAATAAATTAATAAGTGAATATTATAAGATTATCTTGAAAACAAAAATGTGCGAATTAGTTGAGGGCCAGTTGTACTAAATAACACCCTGAAGAGGGCGGAATATTGACAAAACCCCTTGTAAGATAACACGTCGAGATCAAAGGCCTGGTCAGTGAAGATTACTTGATGACTATCATCCTTTCTGTATCATACCTTTCCAGCGACGAACCAAACAAATTTTATTTTCCTTTCCACTCTTTTCTGCCGGGCAAGCCAGAAGAGACGTTTGTTGGTGGGAGTAATCTCCTCGCTCAGATAAATTCGGTAGCAGTCATTTTCCTGTCACCCGATATCATGCATTGAGAAGTCCCTCTTCACTTTTCTTTTCACAATCAGCTTGTCTCTAATTGGCTGCTTGATGAAATGTGCAATTACAGGCAGCGGTTAGGGGTCATCTTTCCTGGTTCCTCCACCGTAAGCCTCATGCCCAATCCACTTAGTCTCTCACTCAATTCAAAACTGAGGTCCCAGTATTTATCGAGAGTTGTTTTCATATTTTTAACCTCTTCATTTATATGGGTATCAATCTGGTTTACTGCTGCTAGTATTTCCGATGCTGACGGCTCAGTACTTGAATTTTACTTCTCCATTACAGCTTTTTTTGCTTGATCACATGTCGAACAGACCTATGTTTTTTTATTAGGTCTATATGCCTCAATTTCTTTGTCTAATAAATTATAACATTTCCCATGATATATAACTTTGCATTTGGAACAACAGATGTTATATTTATCATCACCGGTGACGGCAGTGTTGCAAACAGTGCATTGAACCATTTTGAGTAAAATTAATAAAATATTACTTACAGGTATACATAAATACACAAGTAGTTTATGTTGTGATGTAAATGATAACGCCATCTAATGCTGTTAAGTTATCTTCAACAACAGTCTCACTACTCGTAGAAATTCAATAACTTCACTGTATTTTTCTTGTTTGAAAAACGTGAAAATATCGAAAAACTATTAAAATATTATAAAATGCTACTAAAGCTTTAATACTGGGGTAAAAAATGACTAGGTATTTGATGTTATAGGAAATAATGATAAGCAGATGTTGACACGTTGCCTTCTCTGGCCACTCACAAATGTTGGGCAAGTTCTAACCTGCTGATGTGTATTGTTGAAAAGAAATTGTTGAAATCTTAGTTTAAAAAAAAAAATGATGTATAACATCCTCCGCTTGCCAAAAAAAAAAAAAAATTGCAATCACCCCTAATCATGACTAATAACCTCTAACCATCCCTAACCACCTCCTGTGATCCTTTTAGGTCACTGATATGCCATATACCCAAAGAACTTCCAGTGTCCTCATTCTAAATTTGGCTAATTTCAAACTAATTCTATGAAGGTATCGACTTACATATAAAATTCACATGTGAGGTTGTAACTTGTTATATCAAACAAATTGTATAACTAAACACCACAATCTAACAGGTATTAACAAATTTGAATAAATTAAACTACCTAATTCATATTGTAAAGTTTCCGCCTATCCAATTTAGCAATCATCAAAGAAATTATAAAACACAGTATTACCGGTTCTGACAAAGCTAATTGACTCACATTATAAGGTTTCCATTTTATCTATTATCATACAAATACCACATATGAACACCAATATATATGAATCAACTCAATATATATGAGAACACTGGTGCATTTTATAAGGATATTACACCTAACTTAATACTTTCCAAGAGTTTTCTTGTTTTCCAAACTGCCACTCTTTCTAAAATTTGTGGATTGAGGAAATGTATTTCCTCCTTAATAAATGTTTATTGAGTCAACCACAGATAATTATAATACACTAACATTATTGTACAGTAAAAGTACCATTACCTCCTTTACCTACTTCTACTGATACTAACCTTCGAGTGGAATGGAAAAAAGAACATTCTCAATAAAACCTTTAACCTACCTCTTAAATATTCAGAAAGTAGTTTCAATTAAAAAGAATTCAGTTCACTATATTTTATTTAGGTTGAAGTAAAATAATAACAAAAATAATAATTCTAGAAGTATAATAATAGCAAAAATAATGGTATAACATTTTCTATCTGTTAAATATAAGTTGTAGTGAGAGTAAAGGGGAGTTTTGGGAATAAGAAAAGGACCTCTATTTCCACCAAATGTTCCCATATTGAAGAAGGGAGCTTGAAGGAATGGACTCCCAAAGATGGAATCTTAAGAGAATTTGGACATGAAATCTCAGGCAGTTAGGGATAGTAAGATAATATAGCCCAGGAGCCAGGGTTCAAAAATCGACCTCATCGTAGGCGAAGGTTTGATTGTAAATTACAAAAGTGTATGTTATTCTGAGTAAAAAGAACCTTGTCTGCCGTTCCAGAGCCTCTGTTTTCTAAAATGGCAGCTGATTTAAAAAATATTAGATCAGTAATTTGAGGATCGAAACGGAAAATCCATTGAGAAAAATATGTGAAAAGGTTTTATTTTTTTAACTTTATATATGGATTTAGACATGTAAAAAACAAAACTGCTAATGCGGGCAACCAAGGGAAATTTTTTTTACAGCCAAAAAAAGTCAGATTTTTTCAATATTTTTCCGTGTTTTCACCTACAACTCCTAAACGATGCATCATAGCAAAAAATGCACTCTTTAATAAATTAAAGATCGTTAAAGTTTGTGCCGAACTACTAGATAAACTTTATAATTTGGTTATGTGGTAAGGTATAAAACCAAGGTCAACCAATACTGGCTGTAAACAGTTTTACATGTCTAAATCCATATTTACAAATTAATAAAATAAAAACTTTTCTCACATTTTTCGCAATGGATTTCCCTTTTTGGTCCTCAAATTAATATTTTAACAGCAGACAAGGTTCTTTTTACTCAGAATAACATACACTTATGTAATTTACAATCAAACCTTCACATGTGATGAGGTCGATTTTTAGGCCCTGGCTCCAGGGCTAATAGGAAAGTATGAGGGGTGCCTATGCAGACCAGCTTAAGTGTTTGAAATTTTTGAAGTAGATTACAAATTTAGAGGAATTATGCAAATGAGTGAACAATTATTTTGGAGCACTAAAGGCTTTCTTTAGAATTGTCCAATAATAACCATAACCTAGTTATTATAATTTTTTATTTATTGAATATGTTATATTAGCTATTTTATGTGATCTGCTAACGTAATTTTAATAGTTTTTGATTAATTATTATGTTTTAGATGGTGATCTTTACCATAACAACTGCTGTTATATTATTATAACTTAAACTTTTGTGTTTCAGTTGTTTATTTCAAGTGTTGTTTCAAAATACAAAGCAACTATTATACATGCCATGATTGAAGATTCTGATTGGATGTGGAGAATTATTTATTTGATTTCCCTGTGTTTACATGTGATGAAATCACTACCTGCCAATTTTGAGAAGAAGATGCCTACTATATTAAAAATGATGAGGGGTTTTTTAGATCCTGATGTTTATACTGAGTATGAATCTGTGAAAGACACATCTGATTTACTAATAATGGTCAGTTATTTCTCATTAACCTTTATAATTCCAATAGAATTTTTATTTAAAATATTTTATTCATCCTTCCAGATAATGGTGTTATTACTGCATGCATATTTACTTATTTAAACTGGCTGTGTATTGTGGGTTGTTAAAAAACTTAATTGGTATCAAAATCCTTGTTGGACTCTGATTTTTATAATTTATGTCATTGTTAAATATTCTAATTTTGTCATGCATCTAACAGTATTTAAATTTCATTTTCTATTATATATTTCAATGAAAGTGTCTAAAAAGAATTTTGATGTTATTTGTGATCTTTAAAAATATTATTTGAAAAAGTACTAAGTATAAAAAAAACTACCGACAAAATGTCTACATTAGAAGTAGAAGATTACTTTGTAATTCACTCAATGTTCTGTTGGAGTATAAATTATTTTAGCATTGATATCAAGCAGCCACTGGCCCCCGCTACTATATATTCTGTTCTCACCTTTTGTATCCCCCCCCCCCAGTCCTTCATATAATGTGTTCGTTAACATATGTATGCTTAAGCTCAATAAAGTTTTATTCCCCAATGTTGTTATTTATTCTTACCATGTCACTGCAACCCAACATTTGGTTATGGGCCCAGATTAATGCAGATTGGTAAGAATTGTCGGTATTCAGTTTATGACACGAATAATTACCATATTTCGTTCAATTTGAAAATGGCATCCAGTTTATCATTCATAGACAAGTTGAAACGAAGAGAAAATTAATCTACCTGGAAGTTTCATACAAGTTACTTCAATTAGAAGATCACAATCGGACATCGTGGAAGAAAAATCGAATGGAGAATGTTTGTTGAGAAGGAACTCATCCACTATATTGAGTAATGCTTAATTAAATTATGTTTACAGTCCATGGCCTACGAGTAGTAAAATATGACATTACTGATGAGTGTATTGGCACCCTACTCTTTGCTGGATTGCCAATATAAACCAATGGTAATGGGTTTGGAGACATACAACAGGTGATAAAATTAAAGTTAAGTTATTGCAAGAGATTTTGGCAAACAGTAGTCAATTTCAAAATGGCTCTGTTTTCTGACTGGAAACAAGCTCACCCATGTGGCAACCATAAGAATAATTTAAAGTGAAGTGTTGGGCTATAAATTATTGTAGCATTGATATCAAGGAGCCACTAGCCCCTTCTACTATATATTCTGTTTCCGCCTTTTGTATCCCTCCAGTCCTCCTTAGAATGTGCTCGTTAACGTATATGTGCTTAAGCTCAATAAAGTGTTAGTCTCCCACATTTTTATTACAGCAACTGTCCAATGTACCAGATGCCCTTTTCCAATCTACCTGAAACTAAACATTAATTATGCACCCCTGTGTGGAGTCCCAGGTGTCAGCGGACAGGTCAGAGAAGTTGGGTCCCTCTGTTGTAAATGCGGCAAAGAATGAAACACCAGCCCATGTGCTGAGAAAATGACTCAACAACTCCCTCCTCATAAGACGTCGTTCGAGTTGATGAGGCTCCTTAGGGAAAGGAAATTCACTTGCTTTGATGAGATCTATTGCATCGATAGTGAAGGCTCTACGAGAAATGCGGATATTGTCACATTTTCCTAGACAGAAAGGACAGCACTGATCTTGGATCCAATTGTCCGCTTTTAGAGCAATTACCTCGATCATGCAGGTGAAGTGGAAAGCAGAACACGTATGATAAATGTATCCCTTTCCTAAAGAAGAATTTCTCCAGGAAATATAGTCCTCGACTCGGAATCAATCACCACCACATGGATTGGTAGGATGAGAAGTTTAATTTATTTATTTATTATATGAAAAATGTGTATTGTATTTGTTGTATATTAAATTGTATTTAATTCTTGATGTATACACTTGTTTTTTGTTATTGTTTTGTTCTAATTTTAAGCATGTTAATACTGTATATAAGAGAGATGTATAAAGAGACAGAAGGTAGAGAAAAGGAGTTTAGATGTAGAAAAAAAAAGCATGAACAAGGAAAGGAAAAAAAAATATAGATATATATATTTATTATACTCAAATATACTAACTAATATACAAATATACTTCTGTATTTTTATTTATTGTCCTACGGATTAACTAGTATGCTGTGTGTCTAGCAACCCAATATAATTAGGCAGCAAGCTTTTATATTTTATATGAAAATAAAGTGTTTCTCTCTCCTTATCATGCCACTGCAACCCAACAGTTTCATCAAAAACAATATAAAAAAAATTAGTTTCTTTAATACCATTAAACCAAAGTTTTATTTATCTGAATAAGTAGATTAATTTATCAATATTCTTATAATTACTTTGTTCTTATAAAATATGAATGTTAATTATCGTAATTATATATAAAATAAATTTGTGAAAGTGATTTTTATTCAATCCTAGGAATACTGTTTTAGAAATTGCTAAGAGATTTTAGTCTTTTAACTTGTAAATAGTAAAGATTGCTGATAACATATATTTTGTTTTCATATATTTTTAAAATAGGCTTATAATAATTGATGTTTGGTTGTTATCTGTCTTGCCCTGAAACTTTGGCCGGAACATCAGCACAAAATTATTTTTTATTTTTGCTTCTCACTGTGATTGTAACCCCCAAATTACTTCCCAACCATATATATGTGTATATTATAAAACCAAAGGAAAAAAATATGGGTTTATTTTTTGCTGAAATTAAGCCATACATGTACTGTTATATATAAATAACTAGATTAATAAACTAACTATAAGATTTATATTTTGAATTGTTTATAAAAATCATAATGTATACATCCTTCAATCTGATAACACAATAAGGATTATTATGAAGTATTCTGATTAATTTGATGAAAAAAATAAAAACAGCTTATAGTTTTAAATTAAAATCTTCAGTGATATTGATTAAATTAAAATATGAGTGATAAATAAATAAATAGTCCCCTTAGAATAATAGTAGCGTTAAAAAAATATGTGCATTTAGATATCATACAAATATATACAGAATATAATAAGGAAAATGTAAATATATTCATATAATAACGCTAAGGAAAATACAAATATATACAAGAAATACTGAGAGAAAAAAAAAGTGAATAAATAATAATAGAACGGCTCCTATCAATTAATTGCTGGTGACCAACATAATTATATAATCCAGAAATTCTTACAAACTTGCTGAAGTTTGAATTTATAGTAGGTGGTAGAATAGGAGTTGTTTGAAGGAGTTTATGGACGTTGTTTGACATATGGAGATGGGTAAAGAGTTCCAGAAGGAGGTAGCATGAATGATGAAGGGTTTACTGAAGGAAGGGATTTTATGGGAGGAGATATATAAATCTATAGATTGAGACCTGGTGTTGAGAGAGTGGATAGAGGAGAGTAAAGTAAGGAGTTCTAAGATGCAGAGAGGGTTTTTGGTTCTGAGGACTTGGAATAGGAAAACACTAAGAAGGAATTGCCATTGGGAAGTAGGATAAAGCCAATTCAACTCAGTGTACCAACATGAAACATGAAAAATGCTGGAATGGAATGGAAGCATGAAAGTGAACTGTTTTATTTCATGATTTTTTTGTAATCAGGAATAGTAAAATACGCAATTCACAAGTGTGAAATTCATCTGCATTTTTGTATTCGCTAATGCTGAAAACCCACAGTTATCAAATCCGCAAAGATTGAGGGGTTACTGTATTTCGAAAACAGTTTTTTCCCTAAATATATTCTCAAATAAAAATTATTGACCGAGAGATATAGGTAATTGTGAGGAACTGGCCTTACTTAGCAGAGGTTTTTTATTTGTTTGGGATAATTTTCCTTTAGCTCTGTTCATAATAAAGGATAATACTATTTTCCTACCTGAACCATTTATCCTAGTGATTTCAGTATCTTATAAATTAAAAAAAAAATTAAAGTATCTTTTTTCTTTTTATCGTTGCAATTTTTGGCAATGTAGACATGTCAATGCTTGGCCACATGTTGCAAAACTAGTAAAAACCATCTGGGAAACGTTTAAATGGGAAATCCTATCCCACCTGCTGTATTCACTGGATATAATTGCTTCTGATTATCACTTATTTTGTTTGATGGTACATGGCCTGGCTGAGTAGAAGTTCCATTCTGATGAATATACCAAAAAATAGATTGATTCTTGGATAGTGTTAAAAAATGAATTGTTTTTATATAAAAATGATTTATTTTTATTTGTGTTTCCCACTGTGTCTGCAAGCCCCAACTAGCTTTCCAACCATGTTATTCATAGTTAACTATTTCTCCACCATTACACATTTGTAATTATTGAAATATTTAAAATTTGCAGATATGGAAAAAGATATTATGTAATGGATTGTTCAAAACTCTAATAATGATAGTGGACAACAAACATTCATTGCATCAACAGATGTTTTACAGCAAAACTTTTACTTACATAAAAGATTTGTTTAAAATCATTCTTCGCTTAGTGGTTTCATCTAAAAATGTTGATTTCTGGTAAGTTTAATTCTGTCTGTACTTTAATTCAGTTTTAATTCTAGATTTTTAGTAGATATTTAGATAAATAATAAGAAAGTAGTTTGAACCAATAAACTCCATTTTCTTATATTTTATATTTTAAAAGTATAATAATAACAGGAATAATAATTATAACACAATCATACCATTTCCTATCACATAAATATAAGTTGAAGTGAGTGTAAAGAGAGTTTAGGGAACAACGAAGATACCTTTATCCTTACATCAACTGCCCTCAAATTGAAGAACGTTTTTAGGAAGGGAGTTTGAAGGAATGGACCCTGATCTCATAGAACAGGCTGTGAGAGATAGGAAAGTTTAAGAAATGACTATGTATACCACCCTAATAGATTTGTTTGGAACCTATTGGTAAAATGTATACATATATTAATTCAAAACATTTTAGTAACTGGTAAAATTGATGAACAATAATTAAAGTATTTGAGTTGTAAGGGTGTAATTGTGTGTTAAACGAGATATATGCATTTTCATTAATAAATTCAGTAGGATCTCATTAGTCTCACTTTATCGGGATTAGTATTGTTGAATTACTGACATTGCCAGAATAGTGGATGAATATTTAAAAATTGTGCATTGTTTGGTGGCGTCCCCATTGCCCTATGATTGTACAGCTGATAACCACTGCCTCTCCAGATTGGGAAAATAGTATCCTGGATCACGCACATATATTGATTGCAGCTCACATCTCACACCAGGGAAGTATGTTCACTCTTTATTCACCTCTCCTAGGTACTATTATTGGTAATTCATAACATTTTAAGCCTTTTGAAATTAATGTAAAACTGGTGAATTGCGCCATTTGTTTTTTAAGGACGAAAAATGGTTAGAATATCCAGTCAAAAATTTCTTTATTGGTTTTGCCCATTTGTTTTTTAACTTCTCTAAAATTGCTGGAAAAAAATATACTTAGGGTCAGCTGTACGATTGGGGTTCAAAATGGCGTTTAACTGACCTTGGTTCAAATTTGAACTAAGTTCATATCGTCAATGTGTTTTACAATTATAGTTAACTAACGATTACTTGATCTAAATTGAAGGGTCAGTTGGCATCATTAAAGGGAACTATTATTAATCTTCCACCTGTTGTTCTCTTTTTGTATTTATTGTTAGAATGTTTGTTATAGTTGTAACCTCTTAAACAACCAAAAAACTTTACTTATAAAGAAGAATAGTTACTATTGACAATAATGAAAAAGTATTTCCAAATTCTGGAATGCTACAATGCTTGAACAGGAGCAGAAATATAAATTTTTTTTACTAATAATATTTTATTGAGAAAAAATACATTTTGCCTCAATTAAGGGCATTGAGTATTTAGGATGTATGAAACACAAACATACCATATATACAATAAAAGAAAAACAAGATTATAACAAAAGAAAACTTGGAATAACAGAATAAATCAAACATGAGACAACATTAAATAAAAAAAAAATGAATAAATAAAAACACATTCATACTTATTTACAATATTTAGTTAGCCAAGGGAGCTCCGAGTCTGGCCCTTTACCCCACGTGTAGAGGATAAGGCAAGACTCCAAGAGATCCCAGGGCTTCTCTCTCAGCCGAATCACTATGATGAAAATTTACAAATATAAATTACATTTATGCAGCAAGAAAATTAATGTTGATTGGGAAATCTTTCAGCAAAAAAGTGTTATTAGAAAACAGCAGATGGAGGAGAAGTGCAAATTAGAAATGGGAATATTAGAATTAAAAAATATATATACTTGATTAGTAATTTATAGCTTTTTTTTTTTTTGTTCCTTTTGATGTACAACTCCTAACTCTTAATGCGTAGTGTTCTCTGGAGGAAAATTACATATTTTTTTGAAATTATAAGTTAGCCTCAGACATTATCATTTGGATTTCTTTATTTGATTCAGACAGGTAGATGCATTTATTACAGAAATGTGATTAATCCTAATAAAAGATTTACCTTTTATAGCGGCAGTGGGTATTCTAAAATAAATACCAATTCTGCTCACCTTTTCCATAGGCACTGGTATCTTACAAATTTAAGTATAAAAAAAAATCATAAAAATTAAAAAATAAATGCCGAATAGCAGTTGATATTAGAAATAAATAAATTAAATAATAAATGTTATAAAACAAGAACTAAAATGTTTTTTGTTTTTTTTAATTGTGGCAAGAATGTATTGTGGCCATGAAGGCCTATTGTACGCCTCTATTAAAGTCACTCCAATTAGAGCATAATTCCTGCAGTGTCAATAAACTAAAGTAAGCTTGTTGGGTTGATAAGTTCGTTTGTCTTGGGATCAATCACCCTAGCAATGCTGAATAATCAGAATCTCAGCTCAGCAAATCTGTTGCATCAACAAGTGATATGATATGCTGTTTAATCCTCCTGACCACAGAACCTACATAGAGATGACTCCATTAGCCGGAGATTGAACATATGACAATTCAATCTACAGTGTCCAGTATATACTGCTGTAATTTTCTTAAGTGAGCTCCTGTTCGAGTTAATTAGTAGGTTGCTTCTTTTTGGACAGAGTCTCTCCAGGAACAATCTAGACTGAGTCTGTTTTTTCAAGCACCACTATTTTTTAGCTTCAGCACCATAAATCTCCCCAATTCTGTTATTTATTAGACACTGACTAATTCCACAGATGGGTTCAGGAGCTATGGAAATCTTTTGAGAGCCTAGTCTGGCCAGTTTATCCGCCATATCATTACCATGAATTCCAGAGTGATCCGGAACCCATTCAATGTTTACCTTATTGAGTCTGGATGAATCATTAAGAATTCCTGCACAATCCTCAACAGCTTTAGATCTAGTTGTATAATTGTCCAGTGCTCGTATAGCTGCTTTGACTGTCAGTATATATGGAAATTTTCCTCCCCACTAGCCCATTAAGCAACAGTTTTGAGGGACAGTGAGTTATCACCAGTATTTCAGATTGAAACACTGTATCATATTTGCTGAGTGGTGTTGACATGCCTTCCTCCAAAAGCCAGCACCAGATCCACACGTCATTAGTGACCCATCAGTATAACAATTAATTCGATTAGTGGGTTTATGTTCTCCTGGGCTATCTATTTTAACATTATAAATCTTTATAAGAAATTTTCTAGTCTGAGTGTCAGAATTCATTGTAAGCACCTTGTCTTCCTTAATTTTTTCAATTATTTTCCAATGACCCTCATGGGTATTTATCTTTTAACATAAGTTAAGTTTTTGTAGCCTATAAAAAGTTTTCAAGGCCTTCTTTTCTATCTCCAACTGCAAAGGTAAGAGACCTAACTTTACTTCCATGACTGAAGTCGGAGTAGTTTTCATTGCACTTGTTATCATTAAATAGGCTAATTTTTGTAGTTTTTCCAGTTATATCCGGTTGTGGCCCACTTTTGCCCTATTCCACTATACAACAGTTGAATATAAGAGCACGGGTCTAACCGCTGTAATGTACAGCCAGTAGACCATCCGTGGTTTAAGCCCCCATGCCTTTTCAACGACATTTTCACACGCCCAAAGGCATTTTATTGCTTTATTAGTTGTGTCCTCCACATGACTATTCCACAACATTTTATTGTCCAGCGTAAAACCTAAGTGTTTGACCTCCTTACTTAATGTTAAACTTTTTTTTCATTGTGAAGATGCAAACGTTCATCTTGGCCAGAGGTCGGACAGTATCATGTTTAGCAGCAGTACTTGTCACACGGCTGACAGTAGATGCTGATTTGGCCTCACTTGATAAACACTTAAAAGTCCTTTATGTGTCCAGTTGTTACGTATGGTTCAGAAGCTTTGGCCTTTACCAAAGTGGACGAAACAAGGCTCCTGGGTTTTAAGAAAAAATTGTGGTTCAGCTAAATAGGAAATCTCTGGAGTAAGAGAAAGAACATGGAGCTCTCGAGTACAAACAGAATTATAGGTATCATCAAGTTGGAAAGACTCTATTGAGCTGGGCATGTAGTGAGAATGTGCAGCAGTGAGATTCCCAAGGTCCTGACTGGCGAGGTTAATGGTAAGAGAGGATTGGGAAGGCTGAACATTAGATGGTTAAGAACATTACTTCTGCGGCAGCAGGCAGTATCGACTGTAAGAGATCCACAGCCCCTGTAGTCTATAAGAGGAGGCCTGAGTTCGGTGAAAGGTTGTAGCACTAACCCTAAATGAAACACCTGTATCATTTAGTTCCCTAGCACACTGAGATTTCAAATTTTAGCTAAATTTAAAACTTTTGTTTAATATTTTTAAAAAAGCAATTTCCATTTTATTTGTTTTTTATCCCTTGAATTCTGTTGCAGCTCAGATTTTAAAAGTACTCAATATTCTTGAATGTTTTCTTTTATTGTCACATTCATGCCAATTATTTATTTTGGTGACAAGATTTCTGAAAAAACAACAACATAAATTAATAGATCATGTTTATAAAAATCTTAATTTAATACTATTTAGGAAAATTTTATTTTATTAAAATTTAATACAATTTTTTTTTTCAGCCAAACTTCATTAAAAATGCTGACAGAAGAAATAATATGTAGAGAAATGATAGTGGAAACTAAAAGACTGGTATTCTCTTGTTTTAATGACATAGAAAATTTTCCTTTCCAAACATTGATCAAAGTGATCCTGGAATTAAATGATGAAAATTTATATAATATTCATGCCCTACACAATTTTCTTAGTTATCTGGACAGTGAGGAAAAAGGTCAGTTTAAGTATATATGAATTTAAAAAATATACATTTATATTTCTGTATCTTAGAGGTATAGTATTTTAAACTCAAATGTGACATTTTCTAAATCAATTATAACCTTTTCCATTCCAATTGTTACTTTTTTTATTTCAATAGTATACTTTTCCAATACAGTAAACCCATTAAACCCATTCCAATTTATTTGTAACTTCATTTCAATTTTAACTCAACCTGATATAAATAAATTTGTCAATATTATATTTTACTTAATAAAAAGTATTTATTTAAAATTTGATGACTAATTCAATAAGAATTTCTTGGATTGCAATAGGTATTTGTTTTATTTACTTATTATTATTTTTAAATATTAGTGCAGACAATAAATGCTTGAAAAGGGGGTATAGAAGGAAATGGCGGCGACACAATTTTTGACTTTGGAACATTATTTGGACTAGTAAGGAGGTAAAAACACTAAAAGTCCCCACTCTAGGTGCTGAGCCAGATGTGGGAAAGGGAGGCGCTTTAGATAATTTTTTTCGTGCTTTTGCTTATATAATGAATATATAAACATATAGAATATATAACTATATATATAGAAATGAATATACAGAGATATATCCATCGCATTGACAATGACATTCTATACAAAATTAAAGTTGATAAAGTTTGTAATATGATTTATTATATACCTTTTTTTTGCTATCTCGTTTAGTTTCCGAGATATCCGTCCTCAACTAGGGCTAATTTAAAAATAAAATGTTGCCTCGTGTTTATTGTTGTTTTTCGAGTTTTCGCTTATATCTGGAAAACTATTCATTGCATCGACAAAAACGTTTTATACAAAATTAAAACTAATAAAATTGGCAATATGGTTGATTATATATCTTTTTTTTTTATATCTCGCTTGGTTTCTGATATATCCGTCCTCAACTATCGCTAAAGTGTAAAAAAAAATCATGATTTTCACTGTATTTAACTAGCTAACTCTTGATTATTTTCTTTCGATGATTAATTCCTGGGGAAGAAAGTTTTTAATAATTAAATTATTTTCAAGAATGCATATTATTTTACTTGTTTCATCTCAGTTCAAAAGTTATAAGTTATTACTTTATATGTCAATTCCGAGAATTTGCAGAAAAAATTAATTTTTATGTAATAAATTTATGTATAAATTATTTTTATGTATAAATGTGATTGTATGTATGTATATGTATATATATATATATATATATATATATATATATATATATATATATACATACATATAAATAACCTTTTAGATATATAGAGATTTAGATATATAGAGAGTTAGAGCAATATAACAATTCCAAAGATCGTTAACAAACTGAAATATAAACTTAGTATAAAACATGGGAGAAGAAGGGGGAGTGGATTTCCGAAAATCGGTGAACATCAATGGTGAGAATTATTGAAGGGAATAGCATAAGATATGTATAAAGTCTACAAATGTGGTAGATTTTGTTCATTGTAAGTAAACCTACGATTTTAATCTTGAATTGAATCTTCAATATTGCATTTTAATTTGTATATATAAATATTCATTTATACGTTTTTATTTTATTAAATTAATAAAAAATATGCAATAATATGCATTTATCCTCAAATATGCAAATATATGCATTTAAAATTTATCATCAAATATGCAAAATAAAATTTGGCTAATTGTATCACGGTGTACTAACTCGTAAAGATTACAAACAAAATATGCAATTGCATAAAAATCCGGGCCTTGGTCATAGCATATGAAGCATACAATTTATTTGTTTATATTATGTAATCTATACTTATCTCTCTTTATATAGTTTTCTGTCACATATATTGCCCTGATTAAGAATAATTCATTATCTTACTATCGAAAATAGTCACAAGTTACAGCACTAAGCTCATAAGCTTGGTGGGTACTTCTTCTTATTCTTATAGTGTGTATTGTACAGGTTCTCTGCTTTTTACTCTAAAAATGTTTAAAAGATATATACTTACTTCCCTCATAATGTTAGCTCTTTCCATTACTTCAATAGTAATGTATTTTTAGTATGTACATTGGCGAATATCCCAAATAAGCACGAGGGAATCTTTTCAAAAGAGGAGGGAGACTAACATCCACGCTCCAAATCAGCCGTGAGCCTCTGTGTCTGACAATATTCAGACCTACTAGTGAACCCAATTAGTCTGTGTGCTCTTTACTTTCTCGTATCTGTGCTACAGTTGTTCTTAGTATTTAGTATATCAAGTCTGACTGCTCGAGTCTGTGGTAAACTGAAAATTGACCAGCACCAGTTTTTGTAGTATATATTTATTACTCTTCTTGAAAAAGAAGAAGATAGCAAGAATTCTTGAGACCATTAATTTTTTTATGGCTCTCATTGTTTAAAATTTTCATGTGAGCAGTCATTTCGTCCCATGGATCTTCCATTTTTACGTTGCTATAATAAAATTCATCCTTTTGGTTCTCTAGGATAGGATAATTTTGATAATATTCCAGAATGATAAGAGAATTATCCTGAAATTCCATTTGAAAAAAAAATTATAATTACCAGAATTATAGTATATAATGTAACAGATGTGTGTTCGAAGAAGAGGGGACAGTTTGCTTATACTGTTTGTTCTGACCTCAGTACAATCAGCATCATTATACCTTTACATACTGAACAGGAACCAAGCACCTGCTCACTTTGATACTGGCAGCTTTCAGATCTGGTGAAACAGTGTACATTTTTTTGGCTTGTCTCTACTCATAGGAACAAAACTGGGTGAAATTGATGCCTATTCTGGGCATTTGCCCAGAGTTTATACTCAGCTTTATAAAAAGGCTGCCAGAAAAATCAAATACGTTTGGTTTTCCAGAAGGCGTGTCAGATGCCAAAAAGAAGACAGGTTGCAGGTTGTGATCATCAACAAGGCCGAAGATTTAAACGCATTTCAATGATAGAAACCTCATAGTCACCCTCTCTGCCTCATATTTGTTTCTCGTCTTTCTCGTCTGCCTTTATTTTTCACGTCTTTCTCAATATTCAATTTCCCCTATGAGGAATATTATTTTATGTTCTTTATTAACCTGAATATTCGGAGCTTTGTTCTTTTAAATCATTTCTTTATTTATTTTTTGTACTTATCTGCACATAGTCTTTTGTTTCTCTTTATTTTTATTTCATTATTTCCTTATTTTTTCTAGTGTTAACAGTCTTTCATTTTTATCAGTTGCAAATATTTTTTATTTTGTCAAATCTCACTACCAATTGTCTTGTCTTACTTTGTTTTACTGTATTTTCTTAATCTTAGGAAACTAAAATTCAATCATTAATGATTGTCCCTTTCCTTTCCAATTTTTCGATGATGTATACCTTTCTTTATCCTAAATGACTAGTATCCAAGATTATTTCTTTCATAATTTTTACCATATTATTGCCGTTTGGAAACCGGACTCAAACCAAATATTTCCTCCTCCTCTATATCCTAATATTCTATCCCTAACTACACCCTCATTTGTAATCAGTTACTAAGGAATTTAAATAAACATAAATTTGAGCAGATACCGATATTCCTAAGGCCTATGTATCAGCCTGATGACTTCTTTTTATTGAGATTGGAAGTTTTACCATTTTATTAAATTTTTTTATTACTTTCATGTTTGAGCAGATACCAAAATTCTGCCTTTACGACCTTAACCGATATATCGTCCCTATGAACTTTTCTATTTTAACACATTTATTAGCAATAAAAATAATATTTTAAATGAAATTCTTTGAATCTCGATAAAATAAGGTCGTAAGACCGATATATTTGTAAATAACATGTTGCGATACTCAATATTGCGAATAGTTAGGTGTTTTTGGTCGGAGTCAAGATTGTTTTAACATTTTAGCGTGGTCTTTGCGCGACGCCATTTTGAAATTCCGGAACAAACGAACTTTTTATTATTATTATTTTTTTTTTTAAATTGAATATTAATTAATCTCCAGCGACCCAATCAACAGTTTACTTCTGTTTGGCACCAATTATAAATAACCTGATAAAGTTTAAATGTAAATAACTTGTTTTGGCTAGAATTGGCGAATAGCCTTCCTTTTTATATCCGGGAACTAGGTTATTTACACTCGTGATTATTAAAACAAAACCCTGGCACTGGATATAGACTTTTTGAGGGTGTTTATCTGTTGTTGGAAATTTGGGAATTTAATACCTTTGTGACACTGAGTGACAAGAAACAATAAGAATATATATACATATAATGTGGGACTTAGTAAATACACTTTGAATGAATTGACTCACCTGGTTTGTTATTCTTCAATCGTGAGGCATATAGGACAACTAAATAAATAAATGACTTTTCACTCCTGTATAACAAAATAATTTTATTTCTACAACTGTAATAAATTGACTCTATTAAAGTGTTATAACTATAGACTTGATCGTCTAAATCTTGTAGTAGACTTCTCTTCCCAGTTATGTCGTTCCGCCTCAAGTTCTCTTGCCTCCATGTCTCAGCTTCAAGTCTTCTCTCCTCCGTGTCACAGCCTCAAGTGCCTTCTCTCCTCTTCTCGGCGTCCTTCTGCCAGCTGCTGCTACCTGACCGCACCTTTTTCCTTCTTCATCGATTGTTTATCGATATGAGACTTTTCAATGAACAATTTGTCCACTGCACAATTGAGTACAATTCACAGTGCAACCTCACATTCCTATATATTATATATTATATCTCATTCCCTCACAATGTCACATAAAGGAGTAAATACAGGGGGATGTCTACTACATATTGGCTTTAGAACATCATTATCTGCTCAAATTCAGAAAAGGGGACGAGCAAGAAAAAAAAAATCAATAAAAGATGTTTAAACTCTACCAATGTTAATGAAATTAGGTTTTGAGGCTGATATATTGGTCCAAGGGGAGAACGAAAAAATAATTTGAAGAAGAGAAGCCTAAAAAAAATGTCAAACTCTACCAATCTTGATAAAATAAAGTTGGGAGAACGATATATTGATCTTTATATCGGTATCTGCTCAAATTAGGAAATGTGCAGGACCAAAAAATAAAATAAATAATAAATGGTCTACCCCTACTCTAGCAATCTCAATAACATAAGATCACAAGGCCGATTATCGGTCTTTGCTACAATTTATTTTTATGTTGATTCCTCGACGATTGGTTGACACATTTATTAGGAATATAAATAGTATTCCTTGTAAAAATCTATAAATCAGGATAAAATGAGGTCGTGAGACCGATATATCAGTCTTTTTAATATCGATGTCTGCTCAAATTAGGGGAATCAGAGCACCACAAAAAATAAATTTAATAAAATAAATAAAAGGTCAAACTACCAATCTCAATAAATTGAGGTCGTAAGGCGGATATATCGATCTTTGCTCAAATTTATGTTTCTGTATATATGAATCATAATAAATTAAGATCGTAAACGCGATATATATTGGTCCAATGGGAGTACTAAAAACATTTTTTTAAGAAAAAGAGCAAAAAAAAAAAAAAGAAACTACTAAGTTAAACTCTACTAATCTTATTAAAGTAAGATTGTGAGGCCGGTCTCTGCTCAGATATATCGATCTTTCCACAAATTTATTTTTATGTTGATCCCTTGTCGATTGATTGACATCTATTATCAAAAATAGTATAAAAATAATATTCCAAGTATGAACCTTGATAAAATAAGGTCGTAAGACAGATATATATAACTGAGTTCTAAGTGAAACTCTTGGCTGAACACACCTCCCTAAAGAAGACCTGCAAAGTCAGGTCGAAACATTGGCTTTTAATAAAATACTTTTGCTACTATTCAGCCTATTTTTGACCGTCACCCCGGACCATCTCCTTCCTTTATAATGCAACGGTCAACTATTAAATATTCAATAAAAAAAAAATGTGTATATATATATATATATATATATATATATATATATATATATATATATATATATGATATCAGTTTTTAGAATATTGTTATTTGCTGAAATGTATATATAGATCTAGTCCTGGATGATTGATTGATACTTTCATTCAGCAATTACGAGAATTTTCTGTGCGATGTTGTAGGGAACCAGACATATAAGAACGAAAGGCCGATATCCTGAAATATTTGTTTATCTCCCTGACTTTTACAAATCAGTCAATATTTGTTTATAGGGCGATGAGTAGATAGTATATTTATTATTTTATTTAGCAATAAGTAAAATATTCCTTGTTAAATTGTACAAACCTTGAAGAAAAGAGAAAAAAAAGGCTGATATATCGAACTTTGTCATATCTGTACTGGCCAAAATTTCACTAATTTCATTAAAGCATGTTAAAAGTCCTAGTTCATCTATCCTATAACAAAATTACAGTAAATCATGCAAAAGTCATAATAATAGACATAAGAGAGTAAATAATGTAAGGAAACATAATTTTTTTTAAGCCAAGTTTCTTTATCTTTCAGAAATATCATTATCAGAAGTCTGGAATATCATTATTTATTAACCATGGTTTTGTTATCCATTTGAGGCTCTAAATGTTTCTATATTACAATCTCGAATTAGTTTAGATTGTTGTTGTTTTTTTTTTACCTTTTTAGAAAATGTTAATATATTAAATACCAATTATTTCTTAGTATTCATTGTATTTTTAGTTTATGTTTTTATGGAAGTAAATACATGTTTTCATTTATTACAGCAATGTCTATTGAAGAGCAGAAAAACTACATTCTTTTGCTATCTAAACTTTCTGTAAATATACCCCTATTAGTGAAGTCACTTCAACCTCATAAAGAAACTATTGGATCAACAAATCCATTGAACAAAGAACAGCATGTTGTAAGTTTAATATTTGTGTGCATATATAAATTCTAAGCTAAGTTGGCCAAGTTACAATACCTATAAATGTTCAGATATTGTATATATGTAGGTCTTTAATGGTATGGAATGCTTGAGGATAGTTTATATTAAAAGTAAATATAAACTATTAATACTAACTGTCCCATAATACGATTTTTTTAAGTTGTCTTTGTTTATTTTGTAAATATCTATTTTTTTTTAAGTAATGACAATAAAAGTTTTATTTCAAAATTAAAATAGTTTTGGATGCCACATATATGTAACAAAAATAGTTTATTCATTCAAAAATTCAGCATATAAATAAATTAACACAATTTTTTATAAATTTAAAATTATTTTTTTTACTAAATATCTATACGTAAATGTTTTTCAATTTCATAAAAGTTAATGAGAATGAAATGAAGCATGTGTGCATTTTCATTGTCGTAGAAATTGCATCACTTCTTTTGATTCTTATGCTAATAATGTTGGTTCTATTGAATGTTTTTCTTTACTTATTAAGGCTACAAGATAACTTTAACAATGTTTCTCAGTTCAGTTTTAACTAATGCTAGGATAAAAACATTCCGTCCACTCTGACAAAGCATACGTTGTCCTCCATCGTCATTTTTACTAGATGAACCAGTTTGGTAGGGATGCTCATATCCACCATTGCTTTATATGCTTCTACTCTGTTCACTGAATCGTAGACTTGTTGGAAATCACTGAACAAGGTGGTGAGTGTGTATCTGGTATTCCCTTGTTTTCTCCAACAGGATTCGTAGGGTAAACATTTGATCTGTCAAATTTTCTCTTATATGCCTGTCCAAAATCTTTTCCAATGTCTTAATTAGAAAAGATGACTTACATATTGGCCTGAAAGACTTAGGATCGTCATATGATCCCTTTCCAGGTTTTGGTATAAAACACTGTTTGGATCCTCTCCATTCTGTAGGAAGGTAACCAAACGCTATGAGATAGGGTTTAATTATTAAAAGTCCTTTTTGAACCATTATTGGTAGGATATCATCAAAACCTGCAGATTTATAAGGAAACAATGAGTTTACTGCCCATTCCATTCTATTTACTGTAATATTTCTTGTCTTAATCCACACTTCTCTATTAGCTGTGTAGCTAGGAAATGTAGTGTCTATACAAGCCTTTTCCTTCGTCTTGCAACCAGGAAAGTGTGCTATTACCAGTTCTCTCAGGGTTTCAAGCTCATTAGTAGTATGTTTGCCATTGACCTTGAGTGTGCCCAGTATTCCTTGGTCTTTATGTTTAGTATTTATTCTCTTCATCCTACATGCCATAGGAGTGTTGTAAATTTCTTGGCAGAAGTTCCTCCAAGACTGTGTTTTAGCTTCCCTCTCAGATTTGGGATACTCTGTGAGGGCGGTCCTATAACCTCCCAGTTGCCCTATCTTTTAGCGCATTGAACAACCTTCTAGTGAGTGTCCTTGGCCTCTCAAAATCTTTGTTCCACCAGGATACTCTCCTTTTGGATACTTTGGATTGAATGTCATTACTGCTCAAATGAGAGTTTCTAATAGCATCTGTTAAAGATGAATTGAGCTGCCAAGTGTTATTTATAATTTTTGGAGAGGATTTACATGCCTCTTCAAAGTATGGGAGGTACACTTCCCAGTCCATAGACTTTGAATTTCTTTACTTCTCAGAAATACTAGTGTTATTAAACAGGTCAAAACTTTTTTTTATAAAGAATACAGGCCCTGGGATTGGTGGCAACAGATATAGTTCCATAGCCAGTAATTCCCAATATGTTATTACTTATGTAACGTTCTTGGGTAAATACATTGTCAATATCCTTACCTTTAATGTATTTGCAGCAGTCTCATCTAAATAAGTTAATCAGTACACATGTTAGACGAACTCTCGAATGGAGACCGTGGCAGGCTTTTACCCTCAGACGACCCAGTTTTTAATGAGTCTTTGGGATCTCCCCTGCCTCCGGTTTCCTCCAGTGCCTATCGCCCAAAACTATGTATATTATAGGTGATTGGGGGTTCTTCCATTGGCGGTTCCAGTGGCAGGATTCTGGAGGAGTTTTCACTGTCTTCTCCAGTTTCTTCCCTTCTCCTGGTCCACCACTGGACTCCCTTTGCCACACTTAATCTTCCAGGAGCCAGTTTCACAGTTCACAAAGGTGGCTGCTGGAGGGACAGGAAGAGCTTCCGTTCCCCTATCTGATTTCACCCTGCTTCCCTTTGCCGCACTGTGGCTGGCTCCTTTCCGATTAGCAAGGTGTCTAATGTTCGGCAGGTCCTCTGAGCCGCTGTAATTAGAAGCTTTAACTTTGATTCCTTCCAGGACCTCCTCCTCTTCCTGTGGCATCAAAGTTTCATCTTTATTCTGTTCTTTTAAGATATTAAAAGTAACACGACACCAGCCGCAGCCAGCCTTCATGCCATTTTTCTTAAGACTTTCTAAGCTGGAATCCGGGATTCTAAAAATAGCAAAGAATCCTTTATCTATTTCTTTAAAGTAATGCAGATACCAACTCATTGAAACCATCAATTGTTGTGTTCTGCATTCTCAGTCTTTTCATTAAAGCCTCCTCAGTAAGTCCCCTATCCGGAAAGAAGGCACCTATCTTGGAGGTTCTTGTGAGTTCCTGAGCATCACCCATATGAAGGGTAATACCCTCTTCTTTGTTAATGCTCAGAATTATTTTTGCCAGCCAAGTGCATGTTTCATCATTCATACATGAGACATTCCATGAGCCATTCAGCCACAGCTCGAGCTCCCATTCCTAGCTTGGGTACCTAACAGGTTCATCGCAACTATCTCATATATATATATATATATATATATATATATATATATATATATATATATACACATATACACATATATATGGATAGAAGCGATGAATCCCATCTCTGTCGTCCACGAGTCCCATCAGATTCCCCGGGGGGGAGGGTGAGGGGTGCCACATGGAAGTGACAGTAGGCATTGGTAGGGATAAGAAGATCATTCCGCAAAGAGTGGAGAAGACTCCTGCACCCATCTCCCTCTCTAGACACTCTTTACCCTGCCCATTTCCTGCCTCACTACTATGACGTGAGGGTTGCCATCATTCAGAAGTCTATTGAAGTAACATTTCTCCTACTTCATAATATGGTTTCTGTTAGTGGCCAAATTACCTTCATTGTCATTCCAGACATTTGTATGAGGCTTTAATATTGTTCAGCTTTGGTTTATATGGTGATAGAATTTCCTAATTTCACTTTGGCTTCTCAATTTCATATTCTCTATTTACTCCAGTCGATATTACTCCCAGGTCCTTTTCTTCCTCTGCATGTGCCTTTTCTCTGCCCTTCTCCTAGTTCGCTATTCTTCTGCTCTCGCTCTTCTCTCTTCTCGATCATCTGCTGGATTACATCATTATTGAAGTTTGTGATCCTCTTGCACTCTTCATCAAATCATCCTCCCTTCCGCATAGCCTTTTGGGAGCCTAATATTTCTTGAGAAACTTCTAAAATTGTCTCCTAGCATCTCTTCCTTCGCTGAATCAAGTCTCATGATTTGGTGAGGTTTGTTATCTTGTTATCCATACAGTGAATAGAAGCGTAGAATAATAGCATATATAGAAGCATTCCCTCTTCTCATGATCCTTAAAACTCTCAAGGTTAATCCTTATTTGTTTCGGCTCCTGTTAAACTCTCACTATTGATATTCGTCCCCTGATCCGTGTAACTTTTCGTTAGTGATCGGAATCAATATTTTCTACTCAGTATACTCTGACATCCTGGAGACTTGAAATGTATCTCGAGCTAATCATTACATAATCAATCTGGTTACAAGTCACACCATCGTTAGATCGCCAAGTTACCAGATGTATCCTCTTATGGAGGAACATGGTGATTCCTACCTCCAAATCCCTTGAGGCCGCAAAATTTATTCTCCTCTGCTCATTCTCATTTGTGTAATCCTGTTGTGGGTTTATATTATGTTTCCTTTCCTATTTGGGCAAAGAATTCTCCAATCTTAATTTTAACATCGGCTCGTGGACAACTACCCATGCTTCATTCTAGGTCATTGTAAAAGCAGTTCTTTTCCTCTTCTTCAGATGTTTCCGTTGGAGCTTATTCACTTATGAAGCTGAAATTATAAAATTTACCTTTCATTTGAAGGTAACATAATCTGGAGTTTACAGAAATGAAACCAATAACAAGTTGAGCCACCTTCCTACTGATGATGAATCCATTTCCATATGTATGCAGTTGATTGTCACAACTTAATAGACTGTGTGGATTTTCTTATTGAATATTGTCTTTCATTAGAGATGGGGATATGTTTATTCAAAAATATAAATACCAATTGCATTTATATTTTTGTATCCTATGAAACTAAATTTGAATATACTCAAAAAAAGAAATATGAACATAGATAATTTGTATTTATACCTGTAAAATTGAATATTCTGTTATTAGGAATATTCTATTCTGAATATTGGGCTGCATTCAAGCCTATTAAAATGAATACACTTAAGTTAACAAAAGTGAATGGGAATATTTGGGTCAAAAAATCTAAAAACTCCTGTAATTATAATTTTATACTTGATAAAATATATAGATTTTTTAAAATTATTTTTTTGTTATTTTCAATCACCAACATTGCTAACCATATTCTAACTTTTTTTAAAACATCATTTCAAAAGACCTTTAATCGCCTACAAACTTTTTTCTAATTCTTCCTTATTTTTTTTTATTTTTTGGAAAATACCAAATTATAAATCTTATCAGAGTGAAATAGAGCAGAAAAAGAAAATTCAATGAGTAATTGTGCTATATACCTGATGGATCCCCTTTACCTTTCCTCAGCACACTTAACTGGAAATAATTAAAAGCACTCAACAAGATAATTTACTTAATACCATAAAAATCAAGTCATGATTGCTCAATAATCAGTTAGTTTCAAACTTGGAAATCGGTTCAGCCATTTGCTCAAAATATCGTTACATATCCTTTAGGGAA